CCTATTTTTTCTTCAGTGCGCCCCTACTGGACACAGTGGTTGCTCCCTCTAGTGGTGGGTGGGGGCAGCACCGGTTTACGAGTTGCCATAGTGGACACGGGCTATGGTTGGGGGTACCTTTACTGCTGTCTTTTAAAATTAAAAATGTTATGTAAATATCAATGGTTTAGACTTTTGAACTTTTGGAGAAGTGTGTAAAAGAAAAATGGGAGGGAAAGAGGGGAGTGAGAAAGGAGGAATAATTTAAAACCGCCAACTTCAACACCACCCAAACTCCATCTATCCCCTACCCATTCACCCTCTATTTTCCCCTCTACCCCCTTTCATCCCTCTTTTTATCCCTCTCCCCTTCCCCCTTAATTACCCCTTAATTTTACCCCTTTTCTACCCCATTCCCCCTATCTATCCCTCTACCCATTCATCCCCCCCATCTATCCCCTCTCCCATTCACCTCATCTATCCCCTCCCTTCACCCCTCATCTCCCCAAATCCCCCTATTACCCCACCCATTCACCCCTCTATCTATCCCTCTACCCATTCATCCCTCTATCTATCCCTCTACCCATTCATCCCTCCATCTATCCCTCTACCCATTCACCCCTCTATCTATCCCTCTACCCATTCACCCCTCTACATCCCCTTCCATTCTCCCCTATTTCCCTCAAACCCTTTAATCCCCTATCTACCCTCTACCCCTTTAAATCCCCCTTCAACCTTTTTTTGGGGTGAGGTTTTTATTTTTAAGCCTACCCTTGCTCTAGCCAGCAGGCCTGATAAAACCCTATTGAGTGAATGACTGGTCTGGCACGAACACGGACAGACGGACGGACGGACGCGTACAAACACACACACGTACACAGTTAAAACCCCGTTGAGAGAATGACTGTTCTGGCCAGATATATTATACCTGTTAATGAATGGGGCTCTTAATGAAATTAGTCCAGAGCAGAAAGGGAGGAGGTGGACAGGGAGGTGCCAAAACCTGACCTCATGTTTTTTAAAGAGCGTTTAGGAGGAACTGTCTCGGACGGACCCGCTTTCTGTCTGATATAATAGAACTCTCTTTGCTGAGTGAATTATAGAAGCCGCATATTCCAAACCCCCACCTCTCTGGGGTTTTTTCCCTCTCTCTCTCTTTCTCTTACCTCCCTCTCTATCTCTCTCTCTCTCTTTCTCTTACCTCCCTCTCTATCTCTCTCTCTCCCTCTCTCTCTCTCTCTCTCTCTCTCTCTCTCTCTCTCCTCTCTCTCTCCTCTCTCTGTCTCTCTCTCTGTCTCTCTCTCTCTCCTCTCTCTCTCTCGCTCTCGCTCTCCCTCTATCCCTCTCTCTCTTTCTCTTACCTCCCACTCTATCTCTCTCTCCCTCCCTCCCTCTATCCCTCTCTCTCTTTCTCTTACCTCCCTCTCTATCTCTCTCCCTCCCTCCCTCTATCCCTCTCTCTCAATCTCTTACCTCCCTCTCTATCTCTCCCTACGTCTATCCTCTCTCGCTCTCTGTGATTCTCCGTCACACACGTTACCCATGTCTCGTTAGTCTGTTCCAGGGAGCCCCTCTATCTCTCTCTCTCTCCGCCACCCCCACAGAATCTCCCTCTCCTTTCGTCGTCGTCCTCCTCCTCCTCATCCCCTACCTCTTCTCCTCCGCGGACAGCCCTGCCTGACGCCCCCGCAGAAAGAAATTAATAAAGAAAGAAAGAGAGGAGGAGAGGATGGAATTTTCCAACCTGCACTACCCAGTGTCAACTCCTCCTGGTCTGATGTACAGAGAGGCTGACTGTCAGAGAGATGGAACCAGGGATAGGAGTCAGAGAGGGAGAGAGAGGGAGAGAGTGAGAGGGGAGGAGGGAGAGAGGGGAGGCAGGGAGATGAGAGAGACAAGGGGGGAGAATGATAGGGCAGGGGTAGAGAAAGAGGTAGATAAAGGGGGGATAAGAGAGGCAGAGGGGTCATGAAATAGTTTAGGTGTGGGAGGTGGGAAAGATAGGGTTACTGCAGGTGAGGGATAGGGAGATGACTGTCTCGCCGACGAGCGCAGAGCGGAGTAGCATAGAGCGTAGTAGAGGCGAGACGCATACTCGCGAGAGACTCCGGATCTGAAGAGTCTAGGTAGGATAGAGAGCGAATAGGTATAGAGTTAGAGTAGTAGAGCGATAGTTAGACGCCAATTTGTGCATGAGAGTCTGCTATACAATTGATAGAAAGTGGGTTGGGGGAAAAACTACGACATTATACAAATCCATGTACACAACAACAAGTGTGCGGTTAAATTGGCAAAAACACACACATTTTTTTTCCACAGTGGCCGTGGGGTGAGACAGGGATGCAGTTTAAGCCCCACCCTCTTCAACATATATATCAATGAATTGGCGAGGGCACTAGAACAGTCTGCAGCACCCGGCCTCACCCTACTAGAATCTGAAGTCAAATGTCTTCTGTTTGCTGATGATCTGGTGCTTCTGTCACCAACCAAGGAGGGCCTACAGCAGCACCTAGATCTTCTGCACAGATTCTGTCAGACCTGGCCCCTGACAGTAAATCTCAGTAAGACAAAAATAATGGTGTTCCAAAAAAGGTCCAGTTGCCAGGACCACAAATACAAATTCCATCTAAGACACTGTTGCCCTAGAGCACACAAAAAACGATACATACCTCGGCCTAAACATCAGCGCCACAGGTAACTTCCACAAAGCTGTGAACGATCTGAGAGACAAGGCAAGAAGGGCCTTCTATGCCATTAAAAGGAACATACAATTTGACATAACAATTAGGATCTGGCTAAAAATACTTGAATCAGTTATAGAACCCATTGCCCTTTATGGTTCTGGGGTCTGGGGTCCGCTCACCAACCAAGAATTCACAAAATGGGACAAACACCAAATTGAGACTCTGCATGCAGAATTCTGCAAAAACATCCTCCGTGTACAACGTAAAACACCAAATAATGCATGCAGAGCAGAATTAGGCCAATACCCGCTAATTATCAAAATCCAGAAAAGAGCCGTTAAATTCTATAACCACTTAAAAGGAAGCGATTCCCAAACCTTCCATAACAAAGCCATCACCTACAGAGAGATGAACTTGGAGAAGAGTCCCCTAAGTAAGCTTGTCCTGGGCCTCTGTTCACAAACACAAACAGACCCCACACAGCCCCAGGACAACAACAACAACAACAACAACAACAACAACAACACAATTAGACCCAACCAAATCATGAGAAAACAAAAAGAGAATTACTTGACACATTGGAAAGAACAAACAAAAAAACAGAGCAAACTAGAATGCTATTTGGCCCTAAACAGAGAGTACACAGTGGCAGAATACCTGACCACTGTGACTGACCCAAACTTAAGGAAAGCTTTGACTATGTACAGACTCAGTGAGCATAGCCTTGCTATTGAGAAAGGCCGCCGTAGGCAGACCTGGCTCTCAAGAGAAGACAGGCTATGTGCACACTGCCCACAAAATGAGGTGGAAACTGAGCTGCACTTCCTAACCTCCTGCCAAATGTATGACCATATTAGAGACACATATTTCCCTCAGATTACAGCGATCCACAAAGTATTCGAAAACAAACCCAATTTTGATAAACTCCCTTATCTACTGGGTGAAAAACCACAGTGTGCCATCACAGCTGCAAGATTTGTGACCTGTTGCCACAAGAAAAGGGCAACCAGTGAAGAACAAACACCATTGTAAATACAACCCATATTTATGTTTATTTATTTTCCCATTTGTACTTTAACTATTTGCACATTGTTACAACACTGTATATATACATAATATGACATTTGAAATGTCTTTATTCTTTTGAAACTTCTGAGTGTAATGTTTACTGTTAATATTTATTGTTTATTTCACTTTTGTTTACTATTTACTTCCCTTGCTTTGGCAATGTTAACACACGTTTCCCATGCCAATAAAGCCCTTAAATTGAATTGAATTGAATTGAATTGAGAGAGAGAGAGAGATAAAGGGGTGATGGATAGAGAGAGAGCGAGAGAGAGAGAGAGACAGAGACAGAGAGAGAGAGAGAGAGAGAGAGAGAGAGAGAGAGACAGAGAGAGAGAGAGAGAGAGAGAGAGAGAGAGAGAGAGAGAGAGAGAGAGAGGTACAAAGAGAGAATGAAATAGTGAATCATTGATAATGAGATGACTAGTTGATGACTTGACACCGACCCAGGCAGCTACTGAAAGAGAGGTCATATAGACCAGTCACAGTGGCCATGCTGGTGTGACACTACACACAGTGACATGATACAAACATGACTCATGTGGATCACATGTTACTATGGAGATGTGTGAGGTCAGGTCCATGCTATCTGGAATCCTTGGGATGTCCCTACCCCATTTGAAGTTGGTAAAGGGTAAGGTTAGGGTTAGGTAAGGGTTGTGGATAATAATAATAATAATATGCCATTTAGCAGATGCTTTTATCCAAAGCGACTTCCAGTCATGCGTGCATACATTTGTACGTCTGGTTAGTGTAGGGGTTAAGGTAAGGTCAGAGGTTTAGGGTAGGGACATCCCAAGGATTCTGGATAGAACTGACCAATCATGTCATGTGTGTGTTCCTGTGCTTTTTATTACTGTTTAAACGTGCAAATGCTGTTTGTTTTCTGCTGAAATCGAACGCTTGTTAATTACACCCACTGTTTCTACAGTTTCTACCCCTTTTCTAATTCTCTCTCTCTTCATTTTCTTCTTCCCTCTCTCCTCAGTATCTTGTCGACGGTTGGCTCCGAATTTGACCTGCGAACACTGAGAGCAGTCAGGGTTCTGCGACCACTTAAGTTGGTGTCAGGGATTCCCAGTAAGTATGGGGACCCCCATGGAAATCACTCACTCTATCTTCCACTCCCTCTCTCTCTCTTTTCTCTGCCCTCTCTCTCTCTCTCTCTCTCTCTCTCCATCCTCTCCTCTCTCCCTCTTTCTTCCTCTCCCTCTCCCCCTCTTTCTTTCTATATTCCTGTCTGACCATCTCCCCCTGCACTGTATCCTCCAGGCCTGCAGGTGGTACTCAAGTCCATCATGAAGGCTATGATCCCCCTGCTGCAGATCGGACTGCTTCTCTTTGTGGCCATTCTGATGTTCGCCATCATCGGCCTTGAGTTCTACATGGGAAAGTTCCACACCACCTGTTTCGACATCGCCACTGGTAAGATCCATGGGCCTTGTCTTTAATCAACTACCAGCGACCTAGCACCTACCCCTAGACCCCCAAGCTTTGTCTTTAATCAACTACCAGCAACCAAGCACCTACTCCTAGACCCCCAAGCCTTGTCTTTAATCAACTACCAGCGACCAAGCACCTACCCCTAGACCCCCAAGCCTTGTCTTTAATCAACTACCAGCGACCAAGCACCTACTCCTAGACCCCCAAGCCTTGTCTTTAATCAACTACCAGCGACCAAGCACCTACCCCTAGACCCCCAAGCTTTGTCTTTAATCAACTACCAGCGACCAAGCACCTACCCCTAGACCCCCAAGCTTTGTCTTTAATCAACTACCAGCGACCAAGCACTTACTCCTAGACCCACAAGCCTTGTCTTTAATCAACTACCAGCGACCAAGCACCTACCCCTAGACCCCCAAGCCGTGTCTTTAATCAACTACCAGCGACCAAGCACCTACCCCTAGATCCCCAAGCTTTGTCTTTAATCAACTACCAGCGACCTAGCACCTACTCCTAGACCCCCAAGCTTTGTCTTTAATCAACTCCTAGCGTCCTAGCACCTACTACTAGACCTCCAAGACATGTTTTAAATTAACTCCTAGCGACCTAGCACCTACTCCTAGACCCCCAAGCCCTGTCTTAAATAAACTCCTAATTTACATTTACATTTACGTCATTTAGCAGACGCTCTTATCCAGAGCGACTTACAGTTAGTGAATACATATTTTTTTATACTGGCCCCCCGTGGGAATCAAACCCGCAACCCTGGCGTTGCAAACGCCATGCTCTATCAACTGAGCTACATCCCTGCCGGCCATTCCCTAATGACCTAGCACCTACCCTTAGATCCAAATAAAGTCATTGCACCGAACCCTAGACCCACAGGCCCAGTCCCAACTCAACCCCTACCCCTAGACATTTACCTACCCCTAGACCCACAGGCCCAGTCCCAACTCAACCACTACCCCTAGACCACAGGCCCAGTCCCTACTCAACCCCCTACCCCTAGACACTTTCCTAGACCCACAGGCCCAGTCCCACCTCAACCCCTACCCCTAGACACTTCAGTAGACCCACAGGCCCAGTCCCAACTCAACCCCTACCCCTAGACACTTCCCTAGACCCACAGGCCCAGTCCCAACTCAACCACTACCCATAGACACTTCCCTAGACCCACAGGCCCAGTCCCAACTCAACCCCTACCCCTAGACACTCCCTACCCCTTGACCCACAGGCCCAGGCCCAGTCCCAACTTAACCCCTACCTCTAGACACTTCCCTAGACCCACAGGCCCAGTCCCAACTCAATCCCTACCCCTAGACACTTCCCTAGACCCACAGGCCCAGGCCCAGTCCCAACTCAACCCCTACCCCTAGACACATCCCTAGACCCACAGGCCCAGGCCCAGTCCCAACTCAACCCCCTACCCCTAGACACTTCCCTAGACCCACAGGCCCAGTCCCAGTCCCAACTCAACCCATACCCATAGACACTTCCCTAGACCCACAGGCCCAGTCCCAACTCAACCCCTACCCCTAGACACTCCCTACCCCTTGACCCACAGGCCCAGGACCAGTCCCAACTTAACCCCTACCCATAGACACTTCCCTAGACCCACAGGCCCAGTCCCAACTCAACCCCTACCCCTAGACACTCCCTACCCCTTGACCCACAGGCCCAGGCCCAGTCCCAACTTAACCCCTACCCCTAGACACTCCCTACCCCTTGACCCACAGGCCCAGTCCCAACTCAACCCCTACCCCTAGACACTCCCTACCCCTTGACCCACAGGTCCAGTCCCAACTCAACCCCTACCCCTAGACACTACAAGGAAGACATTCAGACACAGCCCATCTCCTGTCCTTTAGTCATATCCCTTCAATTATTTTACTGAACCACCTCTTCCCTATTTTCTTATGCTGACTTCAACTCTAATCAGTCTCATCTCTCTCCCTCTCTTTTTCTCCCTATTCTCTCACCTCCCTTCTTCTCTCTCCCCCCTCCCCTCTCTCCCCTCTCTCCCCTCCCTCCCCCCCTCTCCCCTCCCTCCCCCTCTGTCCCCTCCCTCCCCCTCTCTCCCCTCTCTCCCCTCTCTCCCCTCCCTCCCCCTCTCTCTCCTCGCTCCCCTTCTTCTCTCTCCCCCCTCCCCTCTCTCCCCTCTCTCCCCTCCCTCCCCCTCTCTCCCCTCCCTCTCCTCTATAGATGAGATTTATGATGAGTTGCCATGCGGTACAGAGTTACCGTCCAGATTGTGTCCTAATGGGACCACGTGTAAAGGCTATTGGCTGGGGCCCAACTATGGGATCACCCAATTCGACAACATTCTCTTTGCTGTCCTCACTGTATTCCAATGTATCACCATGGAGGGATGGACCGACATGTTATACTATGTGAGTATATAGGGGTGTGTGTGGGGTGGAGCTGTGTGTGTGTGGGTAGTTGTTGTGTGTGTGTGTTTGAGGGGAGGTTGAAGTTTGTGTGTGTGTGTTTGTGTCCTCACTGTATTCCAATGTATCACCATGGAATGATGGGCCGACATGTTATGCTACAGTATGTGCTGTAAGTGGTTTAATTGTAAATACTATTCCTTGTAAAAATATACAGTACAGGGAACGCTATGGTCTGCTAATGTAATACATTAGCTTACCGATTTCCACACAATGTATAATTCATTGGCAACACATCTAGACACAATGAATAATTTACAGTCCACATCCTATTCTATTCCATTCTTTCCAAATTTTGGGGAAAACACACGCTAGTGTTATGCAAGAAGTATAGAAATGTGAAGGACTGGTATTTGTGGAATGGAACCACTTTTAGATGCGCATTTAATACATTTTTCAGCTCTGTTTGTTTGATCTCATGTCTGTCTGTCTGTCTGACTAACCTCCAGTATGTCTGTCTGTATGTCTGTCTGTCTGTCTGTCTGTCTGTCTGTCTGTCTGTCTGTCTGTCTGTCTGTCTGTCTGTCTGTCTGTCTGACTAACCTCCTGTATGTCTGTCTGTCTGACTAACCTCCTACCTACCTGCCTGTCTGTCTGTCTGTCTGTCTGTCTGTCTGTCTGTCTGTCTGTCTGTCTGTCTGACTAACCTCCTGTCTGTCTGACTAACCTCCTGTCTGTCTGTTTGTCTGTCTGACTAACCTCCTGTCTGTCTGTTTGACTAATCTCCTGTCTGTCTGTATGTCTGTCTGACTAACCTCCTGTCTGTCTGTCTGTCTGTCTGACTGACTAACCTCCTGTCTGTCAGTCTGTCTGTCTGTCTGACTAACCTCCTGTCTGTGTCTGTCTGTCTGTCTGTCTGTCTGTCTGTCTGTCTGTCTGTCTGTCTGTCTGTCTGACTAGCCTCCTGCCTGTCTGTCTGTCTGACTAACCTCCTGTCTGTCTGTCTGACTAACCTCCTGTATGTCTGTCTGACTAACCTCCTGTCTATCTGTCTGTCTGTTTGACTAACCTCCTGTCTGTCTGTCTGTCTGTCTGTCTGTCTGTCGGTCTGTCTGACTAACCTCCTGTATGTCTGTCTGTCTGACTAACCTCCTGTCTGTCTGTCTGTCTGACTAACCTCCTGTCTCTGTCTGTCTGACTGTCTGACTAACCTTCTGTCTGTCTGTCTGTCATTCTGACTATCCTCCTGTCTCTGTCTGTCTGTCTGACTAACCTCCTGTCTCTGTCTGTCTGTCTGACTGACTGTCTGACTAACCTTTTGTCTGTCTGTCTGTCATTCTGACTAACCTCCTGTCTCTGTCTGTCTGTCTGACTAAACTCCTGTTTGTCTGTCTGTCTGTCTGCCTGTCTGTCTGTCTCTCTGTCAGACTTTCCAGAGTAATGATGTATGTCTGTCTGTCTCTCCATATTAATTATGTCTGTCTCTCCAGAGTAATGATGTCTGTCTGTCTCTCCAGAGTAATGATGTCTGTCTGTCTGTGTCTCCAGAGTAATGATGTCTGTCTGTCTGTGTCTCCAGAGTAATGATGTCTATCTGTCTGTCTCTCCAGATTAATGATGTCTGTCTGTCTGTCTCTCCAGAGTAATGATGTATATCTGTCTGTCTCTCCAGAGTAATGATGTATGTCTGTCTGTCTCTCCAGAGTAATGATGTCTGTCTGTCTGTGTCTCCAGAGTAATGATGTCTATCTGTCTGTCTCTCCAGAGTAATGATGTATATCTGTCTGTCTCTCCAGAGTAATGATGTCTATCTGTCTGTCTCTCCAGAGTAATGATGTCAATCTGTCTGTCTCTCCAGAGTAATGATGTATATCTGTCTGTCTCTCCAGAGTAATGATGTATATCTGTCTGTCTCTCCAGAGTAATGATGTCTATCTGTCTGTCTCTCCAGAGTAATGATGTCTATCTGTCTGTCTCTCCAGAGTAATGATGTCTATCTGTCTGTCTCTCCAGAGTAATGATGTCTATCTGTCTGTCTCCAGAGTAATGCTGTCTATCTGTCTGTCTCCAGAGTAATGATGTCTATCTGTCTGTCTCCAGAGTAATGCTGTCTATCTGTCTGTCTCCAGAGTAATGATGTATATCTGTCTGTCTCTCCAGAGTAATGATGTCTATCTGTCTGTCTCCAGAGTAATGATGTATATCTGTCTGTCTCTCCAGAGTAATGCTGTCTATCTGTCTGTCTCCAGAGTAATGATGTCTATCTGTCTGTCTCCAGAGTAATGATGTAGAGGGAAGTGCCTGGAACTGGATGTACTATATCCCCCTCATTATCATCGGGTCCTTCTTCATGTTAAATCTGGTGCTGGGCGTCCTCTCAGGGTACGTATAGTACACACACCTGTGTGTGTGTGTGTGTGTGCATGCGTGGGCACGTGCGTGTTTAACTGATCCATTCACAACTTTCCTTCCTCAATACTCCCTTCTCCACCCCTCTCTAAACACAGTCTCTCAGGTCCTAGACTGACAGTTTTCTAAGAGTTATCCTAAAAGTATTTAAGAGTTAGCCCAAGAGTCCATCAGTTTAAGCTGTAAGGCCAAAAATAATTGTTCATCACATATTTGTATTATAGATTTTGTTGATACTTCAAGGGGTCTTACAATTGCAAATCAAAAAGCTAAATGTTCCTTGGTATGACCTTCTTAATTAAAACAATTCCATATAGCTTAGTAAACCCCCCCTCCCCCCCAGACAGGGCTTAGACTGTTATGGTTTAAGAGTTATCCTAAGAGTCTTTACGAGTTATCCCAATAGTCTTTAAGAGTTATCCTGAGAGTATTTTAGAGTTACCCAGTTATACTACATCTTTAACAGCGTTAAACACTTATCCTAACAGATATCCTGTATAGAAGGGTCTTTAATGCATATAAACACGACCTCACAACTTCTAGATTGACGTTTTTCTAAGTGATCCTAAGAATATTTTAACACTAATCCTAAATCTGTAACATCAACCCTATTCAGCTGAGCTCAGGGCGATGTTATTAAATTATTAGATTATGATTAAGTTATTATCAGGCGTCTCTCCGAGAGGAGTGTGTGTGTTGGTTAACCTGCTAATCTGACAGGCATTTTCAACGGAGCTCACCCCTCAACCTCAATCCCCTTACACTGACTGGACTCTGCTAATCTGGGTTAGCCCCGAATCCACTGACACACAGTGGAAGGGAAGACACGCATACACTGTAGAGACACACACACACACACATGCATTTATTGCGCCTGCGCGTCAGGGAGTCTTGGAAGAGTTTGGTAATCCATGGATGCCGATTTATGGAACTCTTCAGAAAAGGGGAGAGCTGTTCATTCACATGTGACTAGAGATTTAGACAGAGTATTTTACCTGCTCTGTGTGTGTCTGTGTGTGTCTGTGTGTGTGTGTGTGTGTGTGTGTGTGTGTGTGTGTGTGTGTGTGTGTGTGTGTGTGTGTGTGTGTGTGTGTGTGTGTGTGTGTGTGTGTGCGCGAGTGTGTGACCCTAGTGTGTGTACTACCCCTAGATATAGTGTGTTACCAGTAAGTGATTGTAGTGTGTGTACTACCCCTAGATATAGTGTGTTACCAGTAAGTGATTGTAGTGTGTGTACTACCCCTAGATATAGTGTGTTACCAGTAAGTGATTGTGAGTGTGTGTACTACCCCTACAGAGAGTTTGCCAAAGAGAGAGAGCGAGTAGAGAACCGTGCAGAGTTCCTCAAATTGAGACGCCAGCAGCAAATAGAGAGAGAGCTAAACGGATATCTAGAATGGATCTGTAAAGCAGGTCAGTATACACACACAATCACATATACACACACGCACGCACACACTTCCTTAACACAAACTGTAACACTGTTCTTAAAGATATTGCTTTTTAACTCTACACAAACTGATGACTGACATGATGTGTTGTTGTTGTTGTTGTTGTTGTTGTTGTTGTTAACCATGTGTTATTGTGTTTCTACAGAGGAGGTCCTTCTGAACGAGGATGGTACCATTTTTACCGGTAAAGTTACTTCGGTCTCATCATAAGAGAGAGGGGGGTAGAGAGAGTGAGAGAAAGAGAGAGCAGGGATCAGAGAGAATGAGTGAGAGAGAGAAAATGAGTGAGAGAGTGAGAGAGCGAGTGAAAGAGAAATTAGTCAAAGAGAGAAAGACAGAAAGTGTATGAGAGAATCATTTTGGTTGAGAGAAAGAAAAATCTGTGAAAGAACCTAGATTTCCATCCAACTGGCGATAGATTTTCTCAATTCTGCAACAACAACAAAAAATTTGCATTTTCCCTCCAGAGATGTGTTTCCATCAAATTGACTTCGTGATGATGTAGTGCACATAAAATCCCTTTTGCCGTTAAATTCCCATGTACCGTATAACAAATACGTTAAATGGGTTTCCATTGCATTTTCAACTCAACTGATGGTTTGCTCACAAAACAATGTGTGTTATATAGCGAGTGTGCCCACTGTGGCATTGGAAAGTGCGCTCTAGCCTAGAGTGCACGTAGAGCCTACATGATGAGATTATTATAATGGACAAAAGAGCGAGATTATTTTTATTTGTCAAACGGCAGCCAAGCATCGATTATCATGTCACCAGAATAAGACCCTGGATATGTATTGGAAAGGAGCATCAAGCTCATCGTCTTGCACTTTCACCTCATAATAATGGCTGGAATGGAGGAAATGGAATGGCATCAAACACCTGGAAACCATGTGTTTGATGTAATTGTTACCATTCCACCGATTCCGCTCCAGTCATTACAACGAGCACCGACATTTCTCGCATAATTTATTTTTCTGACACTAAAAGATCCCACCTTGTCTAGCGTATTTTCTTTTGTCGACATTTGGAAAGTTTGGCGAAGAATGTTCTGTTTCCATCAGGCCTGTCATGACATTTCTCTATCCGATATGTACTTTACTCACATTAAAAGGTTGGATGGAAACCTGGTTTGTGATACACAGAGAGAGAGAGAGAGAGAGAGAGAGAGAGAGAGAGAGAGAGAGAGAGAGAGAGAGAGAGAGAGAGAGAGAGAGAGAGAGAGAGAGAGACAGAGAGACAGAGAGACAGAGAGACAGAGAGAGATTGTAACATTCTATCGTTCTACATCCTCCAGGTACCGTCAAGACCAAGAACAAGAAAGAGCTGCTGAATCCAGAGGAGGGAGAAGACGGTAGAGCGAATGGTTTTTATTACACAATTAATTATAATATCATAATAATATAATTAAGAAGCATTACACTGTAAAACAGGGATCTTCAACCTTTTCTTGCCCAGGCACCCTCCCAGGCAACCGGAGACCCAGGGACCCCCATCATAAGTTAGCAAAAATAAATGTATAATGTCTTTTCTTATCATCAGGTGAATGATAATGGCAAGGAGAACTACTAATAATAATTAGTATAAATAGATTTGGTAGATCTTTTCAATATTTTGACCTCCCCACGTTATAATTGGAGGAAGTGTAAACTATAACATAGGCTATTAGCCAGAAAGGTAACTCCAAACACATTTACGCCAAAAGCAGCTGTTTAGCTGGTTAAATAAAGTTAGCCATGTGTTGGCAAAAATGTATGTTCAAGTCAAGAAAGCTTACCATCAGTCAGTGCACTGGTTACCTGTTCATTAGAAAGAAGATATTCTACTCTTTTCCTACTGTAGGTACAGTGGATTCGGAAAGTATTCAGACCCCTTGACTTTTTCCACATTTTGTTACGTTACAGCCTTATTCTAAAATGGATTAAATTGTTTTTTTTCCCCCTCATCAATCTACACACAATACCCCATAATGACAAAGCAAAAACAGGGTTGTAGAAATGTTTGCACATTTATAAAAAATTTAAACTGAAATAACACATTTACATAAGTATTCAGACCCTTTACTTTGTTGAAGCACCTTTGGCAGCGATTACAGCCTCGATTCTTCTTGGGGAGTTTCTCCCATTCTTCTCTGCAGATCCTCTCAAGCTCTGTCAGGTTGGATGGATAGCGTCGCTGCACAGCTATTTTCAGGTTTCTCCAGAGATGTTTGATCGGGTTCAAGTCCGGGGTCTGGCTGGGCCACTCAAGGACATTCAGAGACTTGTCCCGAAGCCACTTCTGCGTTGTCTTGGGGGGGTTGTTGTCCTGTTGGAAGGTGAACCTTCGCCCCAGTCTGAGATCCTGAGCGCTCTGGAGCAGGTTTTCATCAAGGGTCTCTCAGTACTTTGCTCCGTTCATCTTTCCCTCGATCCTGATTAGTCTCCCAGTCCCTGCCGCTGAAAAACATCCCCACAGCATGATGCTGCCACCACCATGCTTCACCGTAGGGATGGTGCCATGTTTCCTCCAGACGTGACACTTGGCATTCAGGCCAAAGAGTTCAATCTTGGTTTCATCAGACCAGAGAATCTTGTTTATCATGGTCTGAGAGTCTTTAGGTGTATTTTGGCAAACTCCAAGCGGGCTGTCATGTGCCTTTTACTGAGGAGTGGCTTCCGTCTGGCCACTCTACCATAAAGGCCTGATTGGTGGAGTGCTGCAGAGATGGTTGTCCTTCTGGAAGGTTCTCACATCTCCACAGAGGAACTCTGGAGCTCTGTCAGAGTGACAATCAGGTTCTTGGTCACCTCCCTGACCAAGGCCCTTCTTCCACGATTGCTCAGTTTGTCCGGGCGGCCAGCTCTAGGAAGTGTCTTGGTGTTTCAAAACTTTTTCCATTTAAGAATGATGGAGGCCTTTGTGTTGTTGGGGACCTTCAATGCTGCAGAAATGTTTTGGTACCCTTCCCTAGATCTGTGCCTCGACACAATCCTGTCTCTGAGCTCTACGGACAATTCCTTCGACCTCATGTCTTGGTTTTTGCTCTGACATGCACTGCCAACTGTGTGACTTTATATAGACAGATGTGTGCCTTTCCAAATCATGTCCAATTAATTGAATTTACCACATGTGGACTTCAATCAAGTTGTAGAAACATCTCAAGGATGATCAATGGAAACAGGATGCACCTGAGCTCAATATTGAGTCTCATAGCAAAGGGTCAGAATACTTATGTAAATACATAAGGTATTTCTGGGTTTTATATTTAATACATTTGCAATAAATTCTAAAAACCTGTTTTTGCTTTGTCATTATGGGGTATGATATCATTTTTAAAAAAAATCAATTTTAGAATAAGGCTGTAACGTAACAAAATATGTACTTTCCGAATGCACTGTATGTAATTCACAATTTGTTTATTCTGTTGTTGCTAACGATATTCATAAAAACATTGAAATAATAAAAATGTTAAATCAAGGTGGCCCAACTCAATATGTTTTAGTAACTAGTTCCACAGGCTTTTTGAGTTTACTCAACATTTTGTAGAAGTGTAAACTTTACATTTTAAGTTGGCCAAAACCTTGTTCTAAATCAACTAGACAAGTTGGCAAAAATGTTGTTCCAACTTAATTAAAAAAGTTGGGCTAAAGTTCATTGAACTTAAAATGATATATTAATGGCAGTGAGGCTGAATTATTTGATACACTACATATTTAAAGTATGGAAAAAAAACACAAGAATGATCAAACAACGTAATACACATTAAAAATAAATATAAAGTGGTTCGTAAGTGCTACATATGACAAACAAAACCAAAATTAAAAAGAACGGATCTACCGCTTATCAAATGCTGCTTTCAATGAAAATGACAGATCTATAACTCTTCATCATCTTCTTCTAGGAGACCCATTTGGCCATGGTAGTCTACAGGATGGGTCCAACTACAATAGGAAGGAGCGGCGGATACGGTTCTTCATCCGTAAGATGGTGAAGACTCAGGCCTTCTACTGGACAGTACTGTGTCTGGTGGGCCTCAACACCATGTGCGTGGCTGTGGTACACTATGAACAGCCTGAGATCCTCTCCGACTTTCTCTGTGAGTATATGTATCTGCACACACACATGCAAACACACGCACATGCAAACACACACACACACACACACACACACACACACACACACACACACACACACACACACACACACACTCTCCATGATCACACATACCTCACCTCAACACAATGTGCACTACGACCAGCTTGAGATGCTGTCCACCTTCCTCTGTGATTATGCATGGCTAGTGTCCAGTCTAATTTCCATAAGATGTCTAGCTGAGGAAGTCTATTAATCATGTAGAGTTATCATCACAGCAGTCTGCCGTCATAGACTAGCTAGTGTCATTATTGAATTCCACTCATCTAACCTGATTCTCTATTTTCCTTCCTCCTTTTCTTTTTCTTTACATCCTTTCCTAATCCCCCCCTCGCCCTCCCCCCCTCTCCTCTCTCGTCTCTCTCTCTCTCTCTCTCTCCTCTCCTCATCTCTCTCATCTCTTCTCTCTCCTCTCTCTCTCTCCTCCGTTCTCTCTTTCCTCTCTCCTCTCTCTCTCCATCTCTCTCTCCGGCTCACCGTCTCGTCTCTTCAGTCCTCTCTCCTCTCTCTCTTTCTCTCTTCTCTCCTCGCCCTCTCGTTCTCTTCTGCAGTCATCTCTCTCGTTCTCTCTCATCATGGCTCTCTCTCCGTCAGTCTCCTCTCTCTCTCTCTCTCTCCCTCTTTCTCTCTCTGTCTCTCTCTCTCTCTCTCTCTCTCTCCAGTCTATGCAGAGTTTATATTCCTGGGTCTGTTCATGTCAGAGATGTGTATTAAGATGTATGGCCTGGGGACTAGGCCCTACTTCAACTCCTCCTTCAACCGCTTCGACTGTGTTGTGAGTAGAGCTGTTACTCCTGCTACTACTATACTACTACTATATTACTAGTATATTACTATATTACTACTACTATACTACTATATTACTATTATACTACTATAATACTACTATATTACTATATTACTACTACTATACTACTATATTACTATTATACTACTATATTACTATATTACTACTACTATACTACTATATTTATACTATACTACTATTCTACTACTATACTACTACTATATTACTATATTACTCCTATACTACTAGTATACTACTATATTACTACTATGCTACTACTATACTACTATACTACTACTATACCACCAGTATACTACTACTATAGCTTCTACTACTGTTTTTAATGTGCATCTGATGCTGAAATCATTTCATTGGCACTAGCTGAACTATATTACCCTGACTGTGAAGTGCCGATACCGTTTTGTTTTTATCATTCAGAGCCAATCAATTCAAATTGTGCGTGTGCATGCGTCACTTTGTGTGTGTTCTAATCAACATGAATGCATATGATGTGTGTGTGTTAGGTGATCGTGGGCAGTATATTTGAGGTGATATATGCGGTCATTAAGCCAGGGACATCGTTCGGCATCAGTGTGTTAAGAGCCCTCCGACTGCTCAGGATCTTCAAAGTCACCAAGTGAGTCACACACACACACACACACACACACACACACAGTGATTGTTTCAGTTTCAACACTGCTACAGGCTAGTTGCATCATCAGCCTTTCTCCTCCTTTCCTCTTTTCCTCTCTTCTTCTGACTCTGTTTCTATTTTACAGTCGGCCATCACTGCTGTCTGCCTTTCTCTCTTTTCCTCCCTCGCTTTCTTCTCTGACCTAGCCAGTTTGACATAATGGTGGTTTTCATGTCTTTATGGGTTTTTTATGCCTGTCCAGTAACCTCTTCCTCTCTCTCCCCCCTCTTTCTCATCCTCTCTCCTCATCCCTCTCTCCCTCTCTCTCTCTCCCCCCTCTTTCTCATCCTCTCTCCTCATCCCTCTCTCCCTCTCTCTCTCTCCCCCCTCTTTCTCATCCTCTCTCCTCATCCCTCTCTCCCTCTCTCTCTCTCCCCCCTCTTTCTCATCCTCTCTCCTCATCCCTCTCTCCCTAGGTACTGGGCCCCTCTACGTAACTTGGTGGTATCGTTACTCAACTCTATGAAGTCCATCATCAGTTTGCTCTTCCTCCTCTTCCTCTTCATTGTCGTCTTTGCCCTTTTGGGCATGCAGCTCTTCGGTGGACAGTCAGTACACACACACACACACACACACACACACACAGGTTCACACGCACACTGGCAAACACACACACACATATATATATATGCTCACCCACACACATACATGCAGGAACGCAAGGGCTGTTACGTACACACCCACACACACACACATACATATACACACACACACACATACATAGACAATGGGAGGCAGGTAGCCGTTGGGCCAGTAACCCAAAGGTCGCTGGTTCGAATCCCTGGGCCGACTAGGTGAAAAATCTGTCAATGTGCCCTTGAGCAAGGCACTTAACCCTAATTGCTCCTGTAAGTTGCTCTGGATAAAAGCGTCTGCTAAATGATTGAAATGTAAAATGTAATACACACACACGCATGCATGAATTGATGATGGACTTCATGGCGTGGAGAGAGAGACTTGAGGAACTGTCAACTCACAATGGACTTCCTTCTGTGTGGATCTGTCCGGACGTATCCATGATTTATCATCATTTCTCGCACTCCTCTCTCTCTCTTCCTCCCTCTCTCTTCCTCCCTCTCTCTTTCTCCCTCCCAGATTCAACTTTGATGGTGGCACGCCGCCCACCAACTTTGACACCTTTCCTGCAGCTATAATGACAGTATTTCAGGTTAGACATTTAACCATACTTTGGTGATACAGGGCGTTTTCACATATGAAATTCGGCTCCCTGGTTCGGTTTCCTGGTTCGGCTCCCTGGTTTGGCTCCCTGGTTCGGTTTCCTGGAGCGTTTGTGAGAATTCTACAGAATATGTTTTGCTTTCACAAGACCTGAAAATAACCGTTTCAGGGTGTGATTAGAAAGATGCACATTCGACATGACGTTAGCGAGCTAGCTTATTTCCACCGGCAACAATTCCACACGACTCGCGCTGCCTCATCACAATACCTGGTAGGTAGACTGGTCCTGCATCTTAGACCCGCTACTCACTCAGGTCCAGGATTCGCTACAGCCAGGTTTCACACATGCCTACTAGAGCAGATCGGGGTATCGAACGCTCCAGGATCGGGATCACACAGGGGAATGTGAAAGCAGCCATACTGTAGGTTCTGTCTCATACCATACACCTGCCTAGCTCTCTCTGCTTTTGACACAGTAGTACAGCACAGTCTCCGTTTTCACATCCTGGTACTAGATTTGACTGATTGATTGACTGTTCTAGTCTCTGACTCAAAGGACTGTTTTCTTATTGTATTTTGTTCTCCTATTGTGTTTCTTTGAATAGCTTGATTCACATTGTGTGAACATTGTGTGAACATTGTGTGAACATGCTTTGTGCGTTGATTATGTGTGTAGTAACATCTTGTCTTTTACTCCCGTGAGTGTGTGCACACATGCAAATGGTTCAACACTAGTGTTTTACTGTGCTTTGTGTCATATGTAAACTGCACAGAAATGACGTGTGTCATGTATGATGACCCGTGTGTGATGAGCTGTGTGTGTGTGCGTGTGTGTGTGTGTGTTCAGATCCTGACGGGTGAAGACTGGAACATGGTGATGTATGATGGGATAGAGTCTCAGGGAGGAGTGAACAGTGGAATGGTCTTCTCCATCTTCTTCATAGTGCTCACACTCTTCGGCAACTGTATCCTGATGACCATGGCTCTATGCTGACACACACACACACACACACAAACACACACACACACACACATAAACACACACACAAACACACACACACACACACACAGTTCTATGCTGACACACACATAAACGCACACATACGCACACATCCCGTGTAGCTCAGTTGGTAGAGCATGGCGTTAGCAACGCCAGGGTTGTGGGTTTGTTTCCCACGGGGGGCCAGTATGAAAATGTATGCACTCACTAACTGTAAGTCGCTCTGGATAAGAGCGTCTGCTAAATGACTAAAATGTAAAATGTAATATACACACACAGAGACACACATAAATGCGTAAACACACACACACACACACACGTAAATGCATACACAAACAGGACAATTGAAGTCTCTCTATGGTGTGTGTGTGTGTGTAATGCGACACAAAATAAACACACATACAGACATTATAGAGGAACACTAACACAGAGAACCCAGATACTCATCAGAATGTCATGACTTTTGTCCCAATGTTTCTGAGTTGGTCCTATCAGTTCCTTAACCCCCTGCACTCAGACACCCTGCTGAATGTGTTCTTAGCTATCGCCGTGGATAATCTGGCCAATGCTCAGGAGTTGACCAAGGTACTGGACCACATTATACCTTACTTTGCCTCACCTGGTTATAACCTTGCTAGAACTGTACATAACCTGGCTATGACTGTATGGGTGAAGTTACCCCTGAATGCTGATCTTGGGTCAGTTTTGCGTTTTCCCCACTAATGGTTAAGGTTAGGATTTGGGGATGGCAAGCTGATCCTAGAGCTGTCCTTACTTTACCTCACCTGGCTATTACTGTACTAGGGTTGCAAAAATCCGGTAACTTTCCCCAAATTCCCAGGGTTTTCCAGGATTCCTGGATTTCCTGCTTATGCCCTCCTAATTCAAGGAACTTCCAACAAGGATTTCTGGAAAACTAGGGAATGTTGGGAATTATACTGTACTGTGTTACTTTTCTACTGAGCCTGCCTACTACCGACTGGACCAGGCTATAGACCTTATTCAGACGGCGGCCATTGTTAATTGACTAACGTTCTACACCCCACTAGCTGTCAATGGGTAGAACATAGAGACTAAATAAGGTCTATTTCATATGGGTAATGCTCTTTCTCTCTCTCTCTCTCTCTCTCTCTCTCTCTCTCTCTCTCTCTCTCTCTCTCTCTCTCTCTCTCTCTCTCTCTCTCTCTCTCTCTCTCTCTCTCTCCAGGATGAGGAGGAGCAAGAAGAGGCAGCTAATGCCAAGACAACCCTGCAGAAGGCCAAGGAGGTGGCTGAAGTTAGTCCTCTGTCTGCCGCTAACCTGTCCATCGCTGCGTGAGTAGAGTACACATCTATCTGCCTGCCTGTCTGTATCTATCTATCTATCTATCTATCTATCTATCTATCTATCTATCTATCTATCTATCTATCTATCTATCTATCTATCTATCTATCTATCTATCTATCTATCTATCTATCTATCTGTCTGTCTGTCTGTCTGTCTGTCTGTCTGTCTGTCTGTCTGTCTGTCTGTCTGTCTGTCTGTCTGTCTGTCTGTCTGTCTGTCTGTCTGTCTGTCTGTCTGCATCTGTCTGTCTGTCTGTCTGGCTGTCTGGCTGTCTGGCTGTCTGTCTATATTATATCTATGTGTCTGTAACTAGATCTGTGGTTATTTCAGTTGTGTCACTAATGGGAAGCGAATACACTGATACACTGGAAACAGTTGCTACTGTACACACACACACAGTACATCAGTACTCAGTCTAATGTACACTCCAACACTCTACTCAATCCGACCGACACACACTTCAAGACTCAATCTGACGCACACTCCATCTCCCACTCAACCTAATTCTCCTTAGCCACTGACCTAGACTTCTTCAACTTTAATCACGGTCATCATCAAAATAGGTACAAGGTTAAATACACTACAGTAGTTATAAGAAGGAGGTTAAATACACTATACTAGTTATGACAAGGAGGTTAAATACACTATACTAGTTATGAGAAGGAGGTTAAATACACTAGAGTAGTTATGAGAAGGAGGTTAAATACACTATACTAGTTATGAGGAGGTTAAATACACTATACTAGTTATGAGGAGGTTAAATACACTATACTAGTTATGAGGAGGTTAAATACACTATACTAGTTATGATGAGGTTAAATACACTATACTAGTTATGAGGAGGTTAAATACACTATACTAGTTATGACAAGGAGGTTAAATACACTATACTAGTTATGAGGAGGTTAAATACACTATACTAGTTATGACAAGGAGGTTAAATACACTATACTAGTTATGAGGAGGTTAAATACACTATACTAGTTATGAGGAGGTTAAATACACTATACTAGTTATGAGGAGGTTAAATACACTATACTAGTTATGAGGAGGTTAAATACACTATACTAGTTATGACAAGGAGGTTAAATACACTATACTAGTTATGAGGAGGTTAAATACACTATACTAGTTACGAGGAGGTTAAATACACTATACTAGTTATGAGGAGGTTAAATACACTATACTAGTTATGAGGAGGTTAAATACACTATACTAGTTATCAGGAGGTTAAATACACTATACTAGTTATGAGGAGGTTAAATACACTATACTAGTTATGAGGAGGTTAAATACACTATACTAGTTATGAGGAGGTTAAATACACTAAACTAGTTATGAGGAGGTTAAATACACTATACTAGTTATGAGGAGGTTAAATACACTATACTAGTTATGAGGAGGTTAAATACACTATACTAGTTATGAGGAGGTTAAATACACTATACTAGTTATGAGGAGGTTAAATACACTATACTAGTTATGAGAAGGAGGTTAAATACACTATACTAGTTATGAGGAGGTTAAATACACTATACTAGTTATGAGGAGGTTAAATACACTATACTAGTTATGAGAAAGAGGCATGGTTAAATATACTAGTTCGAGCTTCGAGGAGTGGCAAGGTCTCCTTTAAAAAAAACTTACGAACTATCATCAAATTTGACAGTGAGTGCGCTAAAACGTAATTCCACCCTAATTCCATTGAGTCAATGGAAACGGGCTAAGTGGCTACGCGGCGATGCTAGCGGGCAAATATAGACTACATCTAGAAGGATGGCATCTTCTTATCATCAAAGACAGTGACAGGAAAATGAAATAGTTTCTACTGAAATTCTGTGGCCCTTTGAAATGTTTGATGTGCCCTTTTGTGTGTGTGTATTGTGTGCGTGTGTGTGTCCCCCATTGTCTGCTGTTTCTGCAAGGAGAAGCAGATTTTACATAAGCCCCTCCAGCCCTTTATATAAAGTCCTTACCCAGTACTCTGTGCCTCTCCTAGTGTTTTTCTACAAGGAGAACAATAGGTTTAGTCATGTCTTAGAGGACGTAGGGGATGGAAGGAGGGGAGAGAGTGTGTGTACATTTCCCTGCTATAAATTAACAATACTGTATGAAGATACTGTTTATCAAGACATCATGTTACATAATATTACAGGCTGCATTTACACAGGCAGCCCAATTCTGATCTTTTGACCAATCAGATCAGCTCTTTTGCCCATAATTGGGCAAAATATCAGAATTGGGCTGCCAGTGTAAATGCAGCCAAAGACACACACATTCAAGGTGCCATACATCAGATACTAATGTCTTTGACTTTGTGGTGGTGATTTAAACAGTGGCACAAACACATGGCATTACTCCACCAACTAACCTTCCTCCAAACACTCTCCCTCTTCCTTTTTCTCACACTGACACACACACAAGTCTTCTAAATGTTGTCACGGTACCCGTATCGCGATACTACGATACCTGATTTTCCATGGCAAAAAGGAAAACACAAAGCAGACTGAACTCTTTGGTCTTTTAAGAAACCTACTGTATGTAAAATATAGTGTTCTATAGCTTGGAATGGAAACCTGTGACTTAGGGTGACCCCATAAGGCTGTTTGTTTCCAACATGAGGACTGTTTTCAGTCCTCTTCATGTTTTGTTTTCTTGCGATACTGGTATCGTGACAACCCTAGTCTAAAGGTTGTTTTAACATTGTGGGAAGGTTGTAGCAGCGTTGTTTTTATACACGCCACCTACCTGTAACTAACCCTCCTCCAACCCCCCCCCCCCCCCCCCCCCTTCTCCCTACACTAACACACTAACTCACTCTTCTAAACGTTGTCTAAAGGTTGTCTGAAGGTTCTGTAAATGTTGTGAGAAGGTTTGCCACATCTTCTTACACTAACAGCCAGGACTTACTGACTCTTTCACTCTTCTAAACGTTGTGGGAACGTTGAATAAACGTTGTATACAGTAGAGGTGGTGGGAGGACATTGTTTTTATCCACTTCACCTTACTAACCCTATTCCTAACACCCCTATCTCTTATTAGACTAACAACACTCTGAGCACACTCACTCTTCTCAATGTTGTGGGAACGTTGTATAAACGTTGTATACAGTAGAGGTGGTGGGAGGACATTGTTTTTATCCACTTCACCTTACTAACCCTATTCCTAACACCCCTATCTCTTATTAGACTAACAACACTCTGAGCACACTCACTCTTCTCAACGTTGTGGAAAGAAAAAAAAAGGAAATGTTGTGAGAAGGTTGTATAAAGGTTGTTTACGGCGGAGGTGGTGGGAAGAAGGTTGTGGCTGCGTTATTTTTATGTTGGTTGTGTCGCTCCCTTCCCTCCTTGTCTCCTCTTCAGAGTGACAGTAACAAAAACTGAGCGTATCGATGCCACAGAGAATGTTCTCGACTGGTATTTACTTGTTTATCTCATTTTACGCTTTACTTTTTTATTTTTTACGTTTTTATTTTATCCTTTCCTCCATCCATCCTTTTCTGTTGTTGTTTTTCATTTCTTTTTTTGTTTGTGTCGTTCTTTTGTCAGTGTAGTTATTTCTGTCTGTGTTTCATGATTAGGGTTGTACAATTCTAGAAACATCCGGGGGGGGAAAAAATCTTAAAATCCTGTTGGAATATTCCAATTGGGGTTTCTGGAAAACCTGGGAACTTTGGGAACGTTTTGGGAATTTGCCAATCCTAATTCCTTATCCTTGTTTTGATGTTTGTTTGTTCACCTCTGGCTGGCTGTCATTTTGTTAGTAGGTGTGATAAGCTGGCTAGCTGGGGTTAGTAAGGGTTGTTGGGGTCAATTCCAGTTTCAATTCAGTAGATTCAAAAGGATGAATTGAAATGTCATATTTGAATTGAAAACTGACCATTCTTTTCTATGAGGATTTGCCAGTTCATTCACCTCTAGAATGGGCTGAAATATCAGAATCGTTGGAGGTAAGAGGTGTTAATGAGGTACTCGAGGGGAAGTACAGGAGGGGTCATTTGGGAGGGGGCCGGGGGGTGGGGGGGATGTGCAGTCGAAGAGGGGCTGGCGGCTGTAAAACATTTCACCCCCCACCCTCTCAAAGTCCATGGCTACGTCGTCTTCTTCCCTGTCTTTGTCTCGGAATAAGGGAATCGTTTGTATACATTCAAACAAACTGTTTGAGATTTTGTTGATATATTGTTGGTAAAAGAATGTGGTTTAAAAATTCAACTAACAAAAATGTTTATTCAACAAAATCTTGTAATACACATTTTATGTGTAAAAAATACCTTCATTTGAGGTATCTGTCGATGTTGTGGCACTTCCATCATAATCATCTTCACCACCATCATCATCATCATCATCATCATCGTAATCATCATCATCACATCCACCTCTGCAGTGTATTCCTATGTGGGCTACAGGGACTTTTCTCACTGGCTGTCTATCTGCTGTTGGGTCTATGACATCATCGCTTAGGGTGGGCTGGGATAAAAAAAAACGTCTAGTTATCTCTTCTGGCAACATTTACAACTGATCGCTTTCTCTCTTTCTCTTTCTCTTATCCCTCTCTTCCTCTCCTTATCTTATTTTCTTCTACACTTCCCCCTCTTTCTTTCTTTCTTTCTTTCTCCATCCCCTATCTCTCCCCACAGTAAGGAGCAGCAGAAGAATAATAAGCCTGGTGGTAAATCAGTGTGGGAACAGAGGACCAGTGAGATAAGGAGACAGAACCTGATGACCAGCAGAGAGGCCCTGTACAACGAAATGGACACGGAGGACTGGAAGGTCAGGGGAGAGGGGGAGGGAGAGGTGAGAGATACAGAGGACTGGAAGGTCACGGGAGAGGGAGAGGGAGAGGTGAGAGACACTGAGGACTGGAAGGTCAGGGGAGAGGGAGGTGAGAGACACTGAGGACTGGAAGGTCAGGGGAGAGGGAGGTGAGAGACACTGAGGACTGGAAGGTCAGGGGAGATGGAGGTGAGAGACACTGAGGACTGGAAGGTCAGGGGAGAGGGGGAGAGGTGAGAGACACTGAGGACTGGAAGGTCAGGGGAGAGGGAGGGGAGGTAGAGACACTGAGGACTGGAAGGTCAGGGGAGAGGGAGGTGAGAGACACTGAGGACTGGAAGGTCAGGGGAGAGGGAGGTGAGAGACACTGAAGGACTGGAAGGTCAGGGGAGAGGGAGGTGAGAGACACTGAGGACTGGAAGGTCAGGGGAGAGGGAGGGTGAGAGACACTGAGGACTGGAAGGTCAGGGGAGAGGGAGGTGTGAGAGACACTGAGGACTGGAAGGTCAGGGGAGAGGGAGGTGAGATAACTGAGACAGGGAGAGGGGAGGTGAGATACACTGAGGACTGGAAGGTCAGGGGGAGAGGGAGGTGAGAGACACTGAGGACTGGAAGGGCAGGGGAGAGGGAGGTGAGAGACACTGAGGACTGGAAGGTCAGGGGAGAGGGAGGTGAGAGACACTGAGGACTGGAAGGTCAGGGGAGAGGGAGGTGAGAGACACTGAGGACTGGAAGGTCAGGGGAGAGGGAGGTGAGAGACACTGAGGACTGGAAGGTCAGGGGAGAGGGAGGTGAGAGACACTGAGGACTGGAAGGTCAGGGGAGAGGGAGAGGTGAGAGACACTGAGGACTGGAAGGTCAGGGGAGAGGGAGGTGAGAGACACTGAGGACTGGAAGGTCAGGGGAGAGAGGGAGAGGTGAGAGAGGCAGTAAAACGGGGACACTTCGCAGTCCTTTATTACTGTCTAGTTATACACTACCAGTCAAAAGTTTGGACACACCTACTCATTCAAGGGGTTTTCTTTATTTTTAAAAATTTTTTACATTGTAGAATAATAGTGAAGACATCAAAACGATGAAATAACGCATATGGAATCATGTAATAACCAAACAAGTGTTAAACAAATCAAAATATATTTTATATTTGAGATTTGTCGAATAGCCACCCTTTCCCTTAATGACAGCTTTGCACACTCTTGGTATTCTCTCAACCAGCTTCACCTGGAATGCTTTTCCAACAGTCTTGAAGGAGTTCCCACATATGCTGAGCACTTGTTAGCTGCTTTTCCTGACGGGGTATTGTGGAGGCCAGGTCATCTGACGTAGCACTCCATGCTGGTTAAGTGTGCCTTGAATAAATCACAGACAGCAAAGCACCCCCACACCATAACACCTCCTCCTCCATGCTTTACGGTGGGAACTACACATGCGAAGATAATCCGCTCACCCACACCGCGTCTCAAAAAGACACGGCGGTTGGAACCAAAAATTGGACTCCAGACCAAAGGACACATTTCCACCGGTCTAATGTCCATTGCTCGTGTTTCTTGGCCCAAGCAGGTGTCTTCTTCTTATTGGTGTCCTTTAGTAGTGGTTTCTTTGCAGCAATTCGACCATGAAGGCCTGATTCACACAGTCTCCTCTGAACAGTTGATGTTGAGATGTGTCTGTTACTTGAACTCTGTGAAGCATTTATTTGGGCTGCAATTTCTGAGGCTGAGAAGTCTAATGAACTTATCCTCTGCAGAAGAGGTAACTCTGGGTCTTCCATTCCTGTGGCAGTCCTCATGAGAGCATTATAGCGCTTGATGGTATTGTGACTGCACTTGAAGAAACTTTCAAAGTTCTTGAAATGTTCCATATTGATTGACCTTCATGTCTTAAAGTAATGATGGACTGTCATTTCTCTTTGCTTATTTGAGCTGTTCTTGACATAATAAGGACTTGGTCTTTTACCAAAGAGGGCTATCTTCTGTATACCACCTCTACTTTGTCACAACACAACTGATTGGCTCAAACGCATTAAGAAGGAAATAAATTCCACAAATTAACTTTTAAGAAGGCACACCTGTTAATTGAAATGCATTCCAGGTGACTACCTCATGAAGCTGGTTGAGAGAATGCCAAGAGTGTACACAGCTGTCATAAAAGCAAGGGGTGGCTATTTGAGAAATCTCAAATATAAAATATTATTTGATTTGTTTAACACTTTTTTGGTTACTACATGATTCCGTATGTGTTATTTCCTAGTTTTGATGTCTTCACTATTATTCTACAATGTAGAAAATAGTACAAATAAAGAAAAACCCTTGAATGAGTAGGTGTGTCCAAACTTTTGACTGGTACTGTACATGTAAGTACAGTGTAACTTCAACAGTAACTGTAATCCTACAGTGTAAATGTAGTGTAAAATTGTTGTTACAATGTACTTTCCTGTACTGAATGATTACACAGTAATAACGACACTGTAATGTAAAATGTTACCCATAGAGCCTTTGATAGACATATATATATATATATATATATATATATATATATATACAGTGGGGAGAACAAGTATTTGATACACTGCCGATTTTGCAGGTTTTCCTACTTACAAAGCATGTAGAGGTCTGTAATTTTTATCATAGGTACACTTCTACTGTGAGAGAAGGAATCTAAAACAAAAATCCAGAAAATCACATTGTATGATTTTTAAGTAATTAATTTGCATTTTATTGCATGACATAAGTATTTGATCACCTACCAACCAGTAAGAATTCCGGCTCTCACAGACCTGTTCGTTTTTCTTTAAGAAGCCCTCCTGTTCTCCACTCATTACCTGTATTAACTGCACCTGTTTGAACTCGTTACCTGTATAAAAGACACCTGTCCACACACTCAATCAAACAGACTCCAACCTCTCCACAATGGCCAAGACCAGAGAGCTGTGTAAGGACATCAGGGATAAACTTGTAGACCTGCACAAGGCTGGGATGGGCTACAGGACAATAGGCAAGCAGCTTGGTGAGAAGGCAACAACTGTTGGCGCAATTATTAGAAAATGGAAGAAGTTCAAGATGACGGTCAATAACCCTCGGTCTGGGGCTCCATGCAAGATCTCACCTCGTGGGGCATCAATGATCATGAGGAAGGTGAGGGATCAGCCCAGAACTACATGGCAGGACCTGGTCAATGACCTGAAGAGAGCTGGGACCACAGTCTCAAGGAAAACCATTAGTAACACACTACGCCGTCATGGATTAAAATCCTGCAGCGCACGCAAGGTCCCCCTGCTCAAGCCAGCGCATGTCCAGGCCCGTCTGAAGTTTGCCAATGACCATCTGGATGATCCAGAGGAGGAATGGGAGAAGGTCATGTGGTCTGATGAGACAAAAATAGAGCTTTTTGGTCTAAACTCCACTCGCCGTGTTGGAGGAAGAAGAAGGATGAGTACAACCCCAAGAACACCATCCCAACCGTGAAGCATGGAGGTGGGAACATAATTCTTTGGGGATGCTTTTCTGCAAAGGGGACAGGATGACTGCACCGTATTGAGGGGAGGATGGATGGGGCCATGTATTGCGAGATCTTGGCCAACAACCTCCTTCCCTCAGTAAGAGCATTGAAGATGGGTCGTGGCTGGGTCTTTCAGCATGACAACGACCCAAAACACACAGCCAGGGCAACTAAGGAGTGGCTCCGTAAGAAGCATCTCAAGGTCCTGGAGTGGCCTAGCCATTCTCCAGACCTGAACCCAATAGAAAATCTTTGGAGTGAGCTGAAAGTCCGTATTGCCCAGCGACAGCCCCGAAACCTGAAGGATCTGGAGAAGGTCTGTATGGAGGAGTGGGCCAAAATCCCTGCTGCAGTGTGTGCAAACCTGGTCAAGACCTACAGGAAATGTATGATCTCTAAAATAGCTAACAAAGGTTTCTGTACCAAATATTATGTTCTGCTTCTCTGATGTATCAAATACTTATGTCATGCAATAAAATGCAAATTAATTACTTAAAAATCATACAATGTGATTTTCTGGATTTTTGTTTTAGATTCCGTCTCTCACAGTTGAAGTGTACCTATGATAAAAATTACAGACCTCTACATGCTTTGTAAGTAGGAAAACCTGCAAAATCGGCAGTGTATCAAATACTTGTTCTCCCCACTGTATATGTATATACAGTCCAATCCTGGTATATATGATCCATGACTTATTGATGCTGGGGACGTGTGTTTTCCCTGGTCAGGTCATATATTTTGTCTAAAAAATATATGACATATATTTTATTTTGTATATATTTTATATGGCTTGGGACTGTGTGCTAAAGTGGAGAATGCATCAACATTTACTTCTACAGTGAGGGAAAAAAGTATTTGATCCCCTGCTGATTTTGTACGTTTGCCCACTGACAAAGACATGATCAGTCTATAATTTTAATGGTAGGTTTATTTGAACAGTGAGAGACAGAATAACAACAACAAAATCCAGAAAAACGTATATCAAAAATGTTATAAATTGATTTGCCTTTTAATGAGGGAAATAAGTATTTGACCCCTCTGCAAAACATGACTTAGTACTTGGTGGCAAAACCCTTGTTGGCAATCACAGAGGTCAGACTTTTCTTGTAGTTGGTCACCAGGTTTGCACACATCTCAGGAGGGATTTTGTCCCACTCCTCTTTGCAGATCTTCTCCAAGTCATTAAGGTTTCGAGGCTCACATTTGGCAACTCGAACCTTCAGCTCCCTCCACAGATTTTCTATGGGATTAAGGTCTGGAGACTGGCTAAACCACTCCAGGACCTTAATGTGCTTCTTCTTGAGCCACTCCTTTGTTGCCTTGGCCGTGTGTTTTGGGTCATTGTCATGCTGGAATACCCATCCACAACCCATTTTCAATGCCCTGGCTTCTTGGTGACTATGGTCCCAGCTGCCTTGAGATCATTGACAAGATCCTCCCGTGTAGTTCTGGGCTGATTCCTCACCGTTCTCATGATCATTGCAACTCCACGAGGTGAGATCTTGCATGGAGCCCCAGGCCGAGGGAGATTGACAGTTATTTTGTGTTTCTTCCATTTGCGAATAATCGCACCAACTGTTGTCACCTTCTCACCAAGCTGCTTTGCGATGGTCTTGTAGCCCATTCCAGCCTTATGTAGGTCTACAATCTTGTCCCTGACATCCTTGGAGAGATCTTTGGTCTTGGCCATGGCGGAGAGTTTGGAATCTGATTGATTGATTGCTTCTGTGGACAAGTGTCTTTTATACAGGTAACAAGCTGAGATTAGGATCACTCCCTTTAAGAGTGTGCTCCTAATCTCAGCTCATTACCTGTATAAAAGACACCTGGGAGCCAGAAATCTTTCTGATTGAGAGGGGGTCAAATACTTATTTCCCTCATTAAAATGCAAATCAATTTATAAAAAATTTTACTTGAGTTTTTCTGAATTTTTGTTGTTGTTATTCTGTCTCTCACTGTTCAAATAAACCTACCATTCAAATTATAGACTGATCATTTCTTTGTCAGTGGGCAAACGTACAAAATCAGCAGGGGATCAAATACTTTTTTCCTTCACTGTATATAGCGCTTTTTGCAATTACATCACCAAGTGCTTAATAGCAACCTGGGCCTAAATATCCAGAGCAATCAATAATGTAATCTATCAGTACTGAATTGAGACTGATAAACTGCAATATAATGTACTCCAATGGAGTTTGCAATCATCAGGAGTCAACTATATAGTCGTTCGGCAAACTTGAGATTCATGGTTTATAATGGGCGCCATGTTGGTGTCTATAGTTTATAATGGGCGCCATATTGGTGCCTATGGTTTATAATGGGCGCCATGTTGGTGTCTATAGTTTATAATGGGCGCCATATTGGTGCCTACGGTTTATAATGGGCGCCATATTGGTGCCTATGGTTTATAATGGGCGCCATATTGGTGCCTACGGTTTATAATGGGCGCCATATTGGTGCATATGGTTTATAATGGGCACAATATGGGTGCCTATGGTTGCAAAGGGAGGGTATATTACTGGAATTATTGTAACTTTCAATGATTTTATGTAATTTATCACGAGATATCTAGTATCCCTTTTGGGTACTTCAGATTATCGCGTGTCTGTAATTATCTCAGGCCCTCTGTGTGGCTTTATCACATGTAAAATATATAAAATAATCAAATAAGATGATTTGAAAATAAAAAATAGAATTACAAAGCTGTAAAACATTATCCTAAAAATAAAGAATCAACTTAGTGAATACCATTGGTATTTAATATGAGAGTTTCAGCATAAAATATCCTTTATATATTTTTTACACACTTTTATTTATTTTACTATGTCAATATGTCATTGTTGTAAATGTTCTGCTGCCAAACTGGTGGCAGTTGTGAAAAAAGTCAACAGTTGGAAGAGTTGCAGAATTAATTGAAAAGAATGCCATTGTTGATGCTTTTTTCATTAACTAGGCTATTTTCTCTTGAACCATATAGTCTATCCACTAGAAACTCATGGACAATATGTGAATACAGTTTTTATTAAATGATTCAAGTATAAATGACCAAAGTTACCATAGATTACCTGTTAATTACCAAAATTACAGAAGATTCCGGTAACTTTGTGTCACGCGGGTCGATGTCGTCTAAGTAAGACCAAGGCGCAGCGTGTCCAAGAAACATGACTTTAATAGAGTAAAGCACGTAAATACAAAACAAAAGACGATAGTGAAGTCCAACAGTGACAATGACTGAACTTGGAACAAAAACCCACAACCCTCATGAGAACACAAACAGTTTAAATATGGCTCCCAATCAGAGATAACGAGCCGACAGCTGACACTCGTTACCTCCGATTGGGAGTCACACGACACCACAAATAACTCACCAAAAACACAACCAAACGAATACACCCTATACAACAAAACCCCACAACAAAACCCCACAAAACAAATACACCCTGGCTCAAATACAAAAGTCCCGGAGCCAGAGTGTCACAGTACCCCCCCCCTAAAGGTGCGCACTCCGGGCGCACCAGCATACAGTCTAGGGGAGGGTCTGGGTGGGCGTCTGTCCACGGTGGCGGTTCTGGCCCTGGTCGTGGTCCCCACCCCACCTTAGTCACCACCCGCTTCCCTAGCCTCCTCCACATGACCACCCTCCAACTTACCCCACCTGGATTTAGGGGCAGCACCGGGCTAAGGGACCGCACCTGGCTAAGGGGCAGCACCGGACTAAGGGACAGCATCGGGCTAAGGGACAGCCCCGGACTCAATGGTGGATCCTGGCTGGCTGGCTCTGGCGGATCCTGGCTGGACGGCTCTGGCGGATCCTGGCTGGACGGCTCATGGCTGGCTGAAAGATCTGGCTGCTCATGGCTGGCTGACGGATCTGGCTGCTCATGGCTGGCTGACGGATCTGGCTGCTCATGGCTGGCTGACGGATCTGGCTGCTCATGGCTGGCTGACGGATCTGGCTGCTCATGGCTGGCTGACGGATCTGGCTGCTCATGGCTGGCTGACGGATCTGGCTGCTCATGGCTGGCTGACGGATCTGGCTGCTCATGGCTGGCTGACGGATCTGGCTGCTCATGGCTGGCGGAAGGCTCTGGCTGATCCTGTCTGGCGGAAGGCTCTGGCTGATCCTGTCTGGCGGAAGGCTCTAGCGGCTCCGGTCTGGCGGACGGCTTTGAAGGCTCATGGCAGACGGGCGGCTTTGCAGGCTCAGTACAGATGGCCAGTTCAAGCGCCTTAGGGCAGACGGGCAGTTCAGGCCCCGTTGGGCAGACGGCAGACTCTGGCCGTCTGAGGCGCACCGTAGGCCTGGTGCGTGGTGCCGGAACTGGAGGTACCGGGCTGAGGACACGCATCTCAGGGCTAGTGCGGGGAGAAGCAACAGGGCATGCTGGACCCTGGGGACGCACATAAGGCTTAGTGCGGAGAGCAGGAACAGGGCATGCTGGACCCTGGGGATGCACATAAGGCCTAGTGCGGAGAGCAGCAACAGGACGCACAGGACTCGGGGGACACACAGGAGGCTTGGTGCGTGGTGTAGGCACTGGTGGGAAAAGGCTGGAGACACGCACCATACAGCTAGTGCGTGGAGGAGACACAGGGCTCTGCAGACTTACAGGAAGCCTAGTGCGTGGTGTAGGCACTGGTGGTACTGGGCTGGAGCGGGGAGGTGGCGCCGGAAATACCGGACCGTGCAGGCTTACTGGCTCCCTTGAGCACTGAGCCTGACCAACCTTACCTGGGTTGATGCTCCCCGTCGCCCGACCAGTACGGGGAGGTGGAATAACCCGCACCGGCCTATGTGGGCGAACCGGGAACACCATGCGTAAGGCTGGTGCCATGTACGCCGGCCCGAGAAGACGCACTGGTAGCCGGATGCGTTGGGCCGGCTTCATGACATTCGGCTCAACGCTCAATCTAGCCCGGCCGATACGTGGAGCTGGAATGTGTCGAACCGGGCTATGCCTGCGTACAGGAGACACCATGCGCTCTACTGCGTAACACGGTGTCTGCCCGTACTCTCGCTCTCCACGGTAAGTCCAGGGAGTAGGCGCAGGTCTCCTACCTGACTTCGCCACACTCCCTTTTAGCCCCCCCCCAAGAAATTTTTGGGTAGTACCCACGGGCTTCCAGCCTCGACTCCGTGCTGCCTCCTCATACCACCTCCTCTCGGCTTTAGCTGCCTCCAGCTCTTCACGAGGGCGGCGATACTCTCCCGGTTGTGCCCAAGGACCCTTTCCAGCCAGTATCTCCTCCCATGTCCATGAATCCTTTATAGGCGTCCATGAATCCTGTTGCCGCTTGACACGCTGCTTGGTCCTTTTCTGGTGGGTTTTTCTGTCACGCGGGTCGATGTCGTCTAAGTAAGACCAAGGCGCAGCGTGTCCAAGAAACATGACTTTAATAGAGTAAAGCACGTAAATACAAAACAAAAGACGATAGTGAAGTCCAACAGTGACAATGACTGAACTTGGAACAAAAACCCACAACCCTCATGAGAACACAAACAGTTTAAATATGGCTCCCAATCAGAGATAACGAGCCGACAGCTGACACTCGTTACCTCCGATTGGGAGTCACACGACACCACAAATAACTCACCCAAAACACAACCAAACGAATACACCCTATACAACAAAACCCCACAACAAAACCCCACAAAACAAATACACCCTGGCTCAAATACAAAAGTCCCGGAGCCAGAGTGTCACACTTTGGTAAATTACCGGTAGCTTTGCAACCCTATTGGTGCCAAAAATGTCCCACTAATTACATCCAAAAAATTGAAACTTTGCTCCCAAAATGGCAGACTGTTTTCCAAACTCTGTATATCTCTGGCTCTAGGAGTAGGCCTCAGGAGAGGAGAGAGGGTTTGAGTTAGAAGAGAATAAACATACGGTTTTCTTTATTTATGGCAGAATCTTAACTTGAGGTCCACACGTTAGGATTCTGCCCTTGTTGTTGGCATATATAAAGTCACTTATTGATCCAGCTTCAGAAGTTAACACCACTACCACCCTTAACCCCCTCCCTCCCCAGGTGTCGTACCCCCATCGTGCGGGGGACATGAAGACCCACCTGGACCGTCCGCTGGTGGTCAACCCCCAGGACAACCGCAACAACAACACCAACAAGACCCGGCCCGGAGAGCCCCCTCTAGACCCACAGGACACCCTGGGTCACCAGAGGGCTGAAGAATACATCCGACGCCAGGCCCGCTACCACCAGAGAAACAGGGGTGGAGAACCAGGGGGAGTTAGTGGCCCAGAGAGAGAGGCCCGTCTGGGGCACGGGGGGAGCAGATTGTCCCTGCAGACGCTGGAGGGTATTGAAGAAAGAAGGGAACATGGAAGGAGATGTAGGCATACAGAAGGGAAGGAGAGGAGGAGTGTGTCACCGCAGAATAGCGAGGGAGGAGTGGGGGATGAGAAGAGGAGGCACAGGAGGGTTAGGAGGGAGGGGGAGGAGGGAGGGAGAAGGCATAAGGGTAAGGGGACAGAGGGGGTAGTGGTAGGGGAAGGGGGTGAGGTAGAGGGGGAGGGGAGGAGGCCGAGGCGTCATCGGCATGGAGAGAGGAGCCGACAGCATCGAGTTAGAAGGTGAGTGACAGAGGATCTGTGTGTGTATTTGTGTCTGTATCTGTCATTATCAAACCTAATGTTTCCTTTGGGGGTCAAAAGTATATCGATTGCTATTGATTTGTCTAAGCCAGTATCCTGTACTGTATGTCATTACATGAACAGTATAGTAACTGTGTTTTTCAAGATGTCACTGATATTCTCTCTCTCTTTTCCTGCGCCTGCCTCCCCCAACCTCTACCCCCTCTTACTCCCCCTTCTCTCTCTCTCCCTCCCTCTCACACTCCCCCTCCCTCTCTCTCTCTCTCCATCGCTCTTGCGTTCTCTCTCTCTTCCTCTCTTTCTCTCTTCCTCTCTTTCTCTCTTTCCCTCCCTCCCTACCTCCTACCCTATCTCCCCCTCCCTCTCCATCCCTCCCTCCTCCCTCCCTCTCCTGCCACCCCCCATCCCTCCATCAGAGACCACTACGGCAGTGGCCCCAACCTCTCCACCGCTCGGCCCATCCTCAGACAGGACAGTCAGTACAGTGAAGACCTAGACAACCTCTTCAACAACAGCAAACTACACAGCAACACGCACACACACGACCACACACTCCACGCGCTGCCCCCGGACCACCCTGACCTTGTGAATAACCTCCTGAACCGCAGTGTGACCGCAGATACACGCCTCCATAGTATGGACAGTCTGATTCTGACCAGTATGGCCAAGCCGGCCCATACGGTCGTGGATATGATGCCTCCTGTCTATCCATATCCCTCTACCAATGCCATCCTTCAAGGTGAGTGTGTGTGGGGGAAGGTGGGGTGGGTGTGTGTGTGAGTGAGTTCATCTATGTGTGGTGAATGTGTGTATTTTGGATCATTCTATTACATTGTCTCTCTCTCGACTCTCTTGATCTCTCTCTCTCTCTCCTTTTTTCTCTCTCTTCATCTCAGTGAACAAGAACGCTAACACAGACCAGAAAAAGAAGGATGAGGAGAAGAAGGAGGAAGAGGAGGATGAAGGGGGCGATGAAGATGGTCCCAAACCAATGCCCCCGTTCAGCTCCTGTTTCATACTGTCCACCACCAACCCGTGAGTGTGTGTGTGTGTGTGTGTGTATATCTGTGTGTGTGTGTGTGTGTGTTTGTAAGTGGGCGTTGTACACTATATATACAAAAGTATGTGGACACCCCTTCAAATTAGTGGATTTGTCTATTTCAGCCACACATTGACAGTAGAATAGCCCATACTGAAGAGCTCAGTGACTTTCAATGTGGCACCGTCATAGAATGCCACCTTTCCAACAAGTCAGTTCGTCAAATTTCTTCCCTGCTAGAGCTGCCCCGGTGAGCTACAAGTGCTGTTATTGTGAAGTGGAAACGTCTAGGAGCAACAACGGCTCAGCCGCGAAGTGGTTGGCCACACAAGCTCACAGAACAGGACCGGCGAGTGCTGAAGCAAGCAGCGCGTAGTACTCGTCTGTCCTCGGTTGCAACACTCACTACCGAGTTCCAAACTGCCTCTGGAAGCAACGTCAGCACAATAACTGCTTGTCGGGAGCTTCATGAAATGGGTTTCCATGGCCGAGTAGCCGCACTCAAGCCTACGATCACCATGCGCAATGCCAAGTGTCAGCTGGAGTGGTGTAAAGCTTGCCGCCATTGGACTCTGGAGCAGTGGAAATGCGTTCTCTGGAGTGATGAATCATGCTTCACCATCTGGCAGACAGACGAATCTGGGTTTGGCGGATGCCAGGAGAATGCTACCTGCCCCAATGCAAGTTTGGTGGAGGAGGAATAATGGTCTGGGGCTGTTTTTCATGGTTCGGGCTAGGCCCCTTAGTTCCAGTGAAGGGAAATCTTAACGCTATAGCATACATTCTAGACGATTCTGTGCTTCCAACTTTGTGGCAACAGTTTGGGGAAGGCCCTTTCCTGTTTCAGCATGACAATGACCTGTGCACAAAGCGAGGTCCATACAGAAATGGTTTGTCGAGCTCGGTGTGGAAGAACTTGACTGGCCTGCACAGAGCCCTGACCTCAACCCCATCGAACAACTTTGGGATGAATTGGAACGCCGACTACGAGCCAGGCCAAATCGCCCAACATCAGTGCCCAACCTCACTAATGCTCTTGTGGCTGAATGGAAGCAAGTCCCCGCAGCAATGTTCCAACATCTAGTGGAAAGCCTTCCCAGAAGAGTGGAGGCTGTTATAGCAGCAAAGTGGGAGACCAACTCCATATTAATGCCCATGATTTTGGAATGAGATGTTAAACGAGCAGGTGTCCACATACTTTTGGTCATGTGGTGTATGTGTGATAGAGAGAAGTTATGTTCCCTTCAGAAAACTGAAGGTGGGAGTACCAGTCCAATCTAAACCACACAAAACAGAGCACAGACAAAGTTCCTGGATGTGTAGTCCATTTGGTCAAATGTTGGAGCATGCAAGGAGTCCCATGATTCTCAGGGAAATAGGACACAGAGTAACAAGCTAGCTACACAAACTATTGAAACAGTATTCATCACTTTTGTGGGTGTGTGTATCGTGGGTGTATGTTGCAGGTTCCGTAGGTGCTGCCACTACATCCTGACTAGGAAGTACTTTGAGTTCAGTATCCTGTCTGTCATCGCTATGAGCAGCATCGCCCTGGCTGCAGAAGACCCTGTCTGGCCTGAGTCACCAAGCAACCAAGTGAGACAACAACACACGTCTGTCTGTCTGTCTGTCTCTTTCTGTCTGCCTCTGTCTGTCTGTGTCTGTCTCTCTCTGTCTGTCTCTGTCTGTCTCTCTGTCTGTCTCTGTCTCTCTCTGTCTCTGTCTGCCTGTCTCTGTCTGTCTTCTCTCTTTTGCTGTCTGTGTGAGTGTCTCTCTATGTCTCTGTGTCTCTATTCCTGTGGCTGTCTTTCTCTGTCCCAATTGTCTGTCTGTCTGTCTGTCTGTTTGTCTGTCTGTCAGTTTGTCTGCCTCTCTCTTTCTTCCTCTATTTATTTCTATAATGTGTATGTATAGTGTACAGGCATGTGACCTATCTGTCTCTATCTATTTCTATAATGTGTATGTATAGTGTACAGGCATGTGACCTATCTGTCTCTATCTATTTCTATCATGTGTATGTATAGTGTACAGGCATGTGACCTATCTGTCTCTATCTATTTCTATAATGTGTATGTATAGTGTACAGGCATTTGACCTCTCTTGGTACTGCTGTCATTCTCAGGTCCTGAAATACTTTGACTATGTCTTCACGGGCGTCTTCACTTTTGAGATGTTGATCAAGGTAGTATGCAGTGTGTGTGCTAATGTGTGTTTTAGTGTCTGTATATGTGAGTGCCTGTGTAAGTGTGCTTGCGTTCATGAGTGCCCTATTGTGTGTGTGTGTGTGTGTGTGTGTGTGTGTGTGTGTGTGTGTGTGTGTGTGTGTGTGTGTGTGTGTGTGTGTGTGTGTGTGTGTGTGTGCTTATGCGCATGCTGCATTACATGGGTGTGCTTACGTGAGTGGGCTAGCGCCTGTGTGTGTGCATGTGTGTGTGTACTAACCCCTCTTCTCTCCTCTGTCCCCAGATGGTGGTGTTAGGCCTGTTCTTACATCAGGGTTCATACTTCAGGGACCTGTGGAACATCCTGGACTTTATAGTGGTTAGTGGTGCTCTGGTGGCCTTCGCCTTCACGTAAGTGTCCCCTGGAAACCTCCCCCTTCCCCCAACCCTCCCCCTCAGCTCTCTCTCTCCCCCCTCTTGACTCACACTCCTCTTTTCATCACTCTGTCTTTCAGTCGTCTTTCACTCCTAGTGCATTGTCTGGCCCTTACTGGCTTAACACTGTCTATGTGTCTCTCCTTCCTGTATTTCCTGATCTCTGTCTTTCTCATCCCTCCATCTCTCCTTTCCTCTGTGCCTGTTGTCCTGTTTTCTGGCCTAACTGTCTATGTTTGTCTCTTTCTTGTCATTCATTCCTTTTTCTTACTCTCTCATGTTGATTCTCTCTCTATGATTAGACACACAGCACAGGCACGCCTCTTTCCCTCGAATAGAGAGAGAGAAAATAAGAGAGACGAGAGAGCGAGAGACAGGAGCAGAGAGAGGAGAGAGAGAGAGAGAGAGAGAGAGGATAGAGAGAGAGAAGAAGCAAGAGGAGAGGGGCTATCTCTCTCTCTCTCTGCTCTCTTCTCGCCTCGCGCTCTTCTCTCTCTCTCTCTCTCTCTCTCTCTCTTCTCTCTCTCTCTCTCTCTCTCTCTCTCTGTCCCCATCTCTCTCTCTCTCTCTCTCTACCCATCTCTCTCTCCGTCCTAAGCGGCCTCTCCATCTCTGTGTCTTTGTGTCTCATCCACTCTCTCACTATGAGACTCAACTTCTTAATTCTGAAAAATACTCTCAACTCTCTAGTCTACCTCTGCCTTTTCCATGTCTTTCATTCATTATTTCATCACATCTGCACATTTCACTCTTTACACTCCTCTCAACAAGCCACAAGTCAGCCGGCCATCTTACTAATGATTCCTCCAGTTTACCTTACACGACTCACTCCAACATCCTACCTGCAACCTCTACCCAACACCCCTTCACCACCACCACCTTCCCAAACCTAGTCCTCAGTTGCCCACCCACCCAACTACTTGCATCCAACCCCTGCCTCCCACCTCCCTCCCCAACCTAGCTCACAGCTGCATCCCTATCCAGACCCAGCCTTCCCCCCTCCAACCTCCCTTCCCCCAAAAACCTCCCAACTCCCTCAAACCCTCTACCCAATCACCCAAACACCTAATCCATCCCCAATCCTCCCCCAAACAACCCACCCCCCTACCCCAAACACCCTCCCCCAACCTTCTCCACATCTCCCAGCCTAGCCTTCAACTGCACCCAATCACCCAACCACCCTCTCCCTCCCACCTCCCTACCCTTCCCCCTGAGAGCACCCCCCCGTCCCCCGTCCCCCTTACGCTGTGTGAGGTTGAGGGTTCCCCAGGCACCTGGTAACCCTCTAGTGCCCAGGTCGTTCTGGTTCAGAGCTGCGAGGCACATACCTTGCCCTGTTCTCCCATTACACCTCACACACACACACACACACACACACCCTGTTACCGTTACACACCTGTTAATGGTTACCGGTAATCACTCCACTCATCCACCGGAAGAGCAGGTATTTTAATATTTATTATCATCTGCACGGCCTGGGGGGGCCTGGGGGAGCCGAGGAAGGGAAGGAGGGAGGAGAGGGGTGAATGTTTGGGGCAGGGCACTGAGGGTGGAATGATTTTATATCTTGAGATATTGTCCACATATCGACGGTTATATATCGATATATGTGCCTGAGTATGAATGTGAGAGAGAATGGAGAAAGGAGAGAGAGTGAAAGAGAATGAGTGTGTGAGAGAGAGAAAGGATGAAAGAGAGTGTGTATGTACGTCCTCCTCAGCTCCAATGGCATGCCTGCACTGGTACTCACATGGACTACATGGTGACATCATACAAACCTGGCTGTGATGTGTTACGATCAGGTGCTGACAGTGTTGATGATGTAACAAGAGGAAGAAGCTGAATGTGTCCTTGTGACTTTCCCGGAATGTCGGAATGAGTTGTCACTAACATTCTATGATGCAGAATGTGACAGGTGTTTTGATCAAGGTGCTACCCATAGAATTAGGAATTAGAATACTAGAATGGACATGAACATTCTTATGATGGGATAAAGGTCTGCCATTTTGGTCAGGGCGTTGGTCAACCATGGTTTGCCAGTGTTGTGATAAGATATTGTGTAAAATAATGAATTTGAAGAATGTATCAAATCAAATCAAAATCAAATTTGATCTGCACTGTATGATTGTTAGCTAGCTAGCCAGCCAATTTTAGTGGAATGATTCCATTAATCAAATTAACTGCCCAATATGCCAACATTCCATTCAAACAATGCAGTCAATCCACAGCCATACACTGGCTGAAATCAGTTGTTGATATGACTTAGACAAGTTGTAAATGCAACAAGTACTGATATTGTATCATATAATAGCACTCACAGCATTCCAAGAAAACAAAATGTAGACATTTATGGTCTGTTTACATATATTTAAGAGGCTATTTACAGAGGTGGAAAAAGTAACCAATTGTCATACTTGAGTAAAAGTAAAGATACCTTAATAGAAAATGACTCAAATAAAAGTGAAAGTCACCCAGTAAAATACTACTTGAGTAAAAGTCTAAAGGATTTGGTTTTAAATATACTTAAGTATCAAAAGTAAATGTAATTGCTAAAATATACTTAAGTATCAAAAGTAAAAGTATAAATAATTTGTAATTCCTTATATTAAAACCAGTTGAGCTGACAGCCGTTTTGCACAGTTTCGCTATGGCTTTAGTCATCAATCTAGCAAGAGGGCAATATTTTATTAATGTAGTAGTGTGTCGTCTCCCCCCCCCCCCAGAAAGCTATGATCTAGTACACAATAAAAGTATAATAAAACATATACAAATATGACATTATAATACATTATGATCAAAATAAATTAAATTGTCAATGAATAAGCCTTTTCATACTTTATAATATGTCCACATATAGTTATAATCTGTTTTAGGAACATCTACCCAAAATATTTCACCTTCTTTATTACTTTACCAAACATATCATGACATTAGTGATTGTCAAAATCTATAAAATGTGTGATTGTCTAAATCAACATTTGAGCCATTTAAACAGGGGCGGAAGCGCTGTGTAAAGGACTCCATTTTGTCATTCTGAGCATATGCAATGTGTCGGCCTCCGACGTAAAACAAATGTTTGACTTCCACAAATATGACTTTTTTACTTACTTTAGGTTCAAGGAAGTGTGTAGGTCACATTCTTCCTCGTAGAGCTATAAAAGTAACGTTGCAGTGAAGTGGTCCTCTGTAGCTCAGCTGGTAGAGCACGGCGCTTGTAACGCCAGGGTAGTGGGTTCGATCCCCGGGACCACCCATACACAAAGAAAATGTATGCACGCATGACTGTAAGTCGCTTTGGCATATTATTATAAAATTAAGTGATTGATATAAATTGATGTAATGATGCAGCCGACCACCAGAGGGAGGCAAAAACAAGTTTATTCGACAGAGGACCTTTACATGAAGGTCTGGATTGCTGTCTTCTGACATAAAATGGTGGAAAATCAATAAAATAAGTCATCTAAACATATACATATTTTTTAAAGTAATTCTAGTGCCCAATTTCAGGGACTGTCAGCTTAAGAGGTTGCAAACCAGACGTCACAATATTCTAGATTTTTTAAATTACGGATAGACAGAGGCACACTCCAACACTCAGACATAATTTACAAACTAAGCATTTATGTTTAGTGAGTCCGCCAGATCAGAGGCAGTAGGGATGACCAGGGATGTTCTCTTGATAAGTCTTGCTAAGTATTCAAAATGTAACTAGTAATTTTGCGTGTCAGGGAAACTGTATGGCATAAAAAGTACATTATTTTATTTAGGAATGTAGTGAAGTTGTCGAAAATATAAATAGTAAAGTAAAGTACAAATACCCCAAAAAACTACTTAAGTAGTTCTTTAAAGTATTTTTACTTAAGTATTTTACAACACTGGCTATTAATACAGACAATTGGTATAAACCCTTATAAACTGTCTTTATAATTATATGACAATGTTTTAGTTTGACAATCATTATATTACACAATTTCTGATATATCACATGCCTTACTTTTATTTTCCCGCATAAGTAAAATCAGGAATCTACTGCCAGTCATTCCAATTAGACTGGTTTGGAGTTCTCCCTGTCCAATATTGCTTCCGTTTTCACCCCATTCTGGAACTTTGAGGGATTATGACATGGCCCCTCTAGTAATTTAATTGGATCTCTATAGTGCTACCAAGGTGACCTTTTGTGTTTCTGGACAGCTGCAGGTTGCTATGGTTACTAGATTGTTCATGTAGCATGAATGTGACAATAACAAGGTCGCTATGGTAACTTGATTGATGATGTAGCATGCAGTAATTGTACATGTGCATTGAAAGAGTGTGACAAGTACAAAGCTAGGAGACCCCAAGGACTGAGGAAGGTGTACATACATGGGTGTATAACAGTACATATATACTGTTATGTATGATGAGTATGTTGGTGGAAGGGATGGATAGACAGTATTTGGAACTGTCTATATTAAACCTTCTGGTAGTCCTCAATGTGGCTGTTGCTATGGGGACTGATAGGTTTGTTGACTCTCTCTGCCAGTTTAAAATCACTCCACTGGCCTACTGCACCCTCTCCAGCATGACTTCCCCCTCCCCACTCCAAGAGGATGCTTCCCTCCCTCCTTTCTCCCTCTTTCCTCCATCCACCTTTCCTTGCTCTTATCCTCCCCCACCTGTGATATTTCTCCTTACTCCCCCTTTTCTTCTCCCTGTCTTCCTTGCCTCCTTGGTGGCCTGTTCTCCTCTCCCCCACCCTTTCAACCCTCCTCCTCTCCATCCTTTCCAGCCCGCTCCCTTCCTCCTCTCCTCCTCTCCTCCTCTTCCCTTCCTCCATTTGCTCAGGGCTACCCTGATGCTCAGGGTTAGGGCTCCACTTGTTTCTGTGGAGCCTTGATTTGTTGAGTCTCACATAGGGGAGCCAAGACTGTCGCGTTAAGGTTTTTGACTCAACAAATCCACTTCTGGCACCGTCATTGAATGACACTGGACTGTCACAATGATCGAGAGCTGCATGTTTACGAGTTACTTTGACTATGCATTTGCTCTCCGTGTGTGAGAGTGTGTGTGTTTGTATGCGTGAGTGCGTACGTCAGTGTACGTATGCATGTGTGTGAAGATGTATCGTGTGTGTATGTGTGTGTGTCTATTTTTATGGTTATGGTATGTAGATGAACAGTATCCACTGTTCTACAGTTTCTACAATATTTACTGTTCTCTCCCAATGAGCAGAAAACTACCCCAAGAATACATTTGTTAGATCCCACGCCTAAACTGCACTGTGTTGTACTGTATTACAGTACGTCCGTGCCTTGCGGGGCCCATTACATTACAGTAGATTTAATGAGATGATTGTCTCAATTAGAACATGGCTAATTGATCGTTATTAAGAGATAAGATCAGTTTTACTGTTAAATTAATACACAGATAGAGAGATAGAAGTTCTCTAGCCATTACTGTGAAGAAAGGCTTCAGGGACTTTCCACCTGACTACTCCACCTATTTAGAGAGAACCTAGTAAAATATTGTATTTAGTTATTTGACTAGGTCAATTGTTGAGTAGGGTCGATAAGTATCGCTGTTAAATTAATACACAGATAGATAGATAAATAGAGGACCTAACCGATTCCTCTAACCATGAATTAATGGCTTTGAGGACCCAACAGGAGAGTAGGGCTGCAGTCCAAACACACCCCTTCAGCCCTCGCGCTAGCCACTTTCCCTCGGGAGAATCATCTTCGAAACCGGATGCAGTTTGATTGCCATCTTAAGTGGTGGTCCAATTCACAAACGTTGCCCACTCGGCCCTCAATTTAGCTCGAGGGAGAGATGTGAAGAATTTTGATCACTTGTAGGGTTGATATGATCCACAATTCAATGCAAACTGTAGTTACGTGTCAAACTCTGGTGGCCGCAAAGTGTCAAAATGAATCAACATGGCTGCATTTTCGACGCTAGCTTGCGAAAATAAATATATAGATTACATTGATTTTAATGTTGGCAAATTGTCTTAGTCTCGTAGTGAGGAGCCTATATAACGTAGCCAGCTTCATAAACTATTTTTTTTTATTCTGATTTTTTTTTCAAATAAATTACCAAACTATAAAACTAGCTAGCCAGCTATGGGTAACTGTAGCTAGATACCTGACAGGTGTGCTAACTAGCTACGCTAGCTTGCTAGGTACATTAATAGCTTTAGGTTGGTTGTTTTTAAACTCAATTTCAAGATTTCCACCAAGGATGTTGCCTCTCCGATCATCACTTTCCCTCACTTGGGCAAGGGACATTTAAGGTACACTCAGATGTGACAATGTAAAACGTAATTCAAGGGCTGAGGGTTTAGGGCCAAGGGCTGTCTACTTTGAGTTTGGACTGCAACCTAGGTATAATATAATAGTGTAGTTAGTAAGTGAGTATAAGAAATGATAATAGTATATATAGTGCTAGTAATATTCATAGTAGTAAGTAGCACTGTATGTAGTAATAGTAGTAAGTAGTACTACTAATAATGTAGTAAGTAATGTATATAGCAAGTAAATAGGTAATAATGCATGTAGCAGGTTTAAGACTACGCCACCTTTTGTAACAGAACCTGGTTACAATTGTTACCATTGAGTCATGTTTAGATAGTCCCAGTAGTGCTTTCTATGGATATGTAATAAGAAAAAAGAAAGGTCTCCACTATTAGTAGTATTACAGTAATCAAAAGAAATAGGTCTGCACTATTACCAATATTAAGGTAATCAAAGCAAATCATTAAGTGTCATTTTTTTGTGAACAGGTATGTAAACATTCCATCTTCAACATCACAGTTGTTGTTGTGGTTGCTGTTGTTGTTGTCATAGCAACCAGAGTTGGTGGGAGGAGTGAGAGTGTTGGGGAGGGGGTTGGGGTTTATATCTATCCAAAAGCACTCCATCTTGCTTTCCTCTCCTATTTTCTCTGTCCGTCTCTCATATGGGTGTTTTCTCCTTCTCCAAACCCCTTCCCCCTTTCCTGTCTCTATCTGTGTTTTCTATCTCTCTGTCTGTGTGTGTCTCTGTCTTTCTTCCTCTCTTTCTCCCTATCCCTCCATCTTATGTTCTTTCTCTCTGTTGCTGTCACTGACCCTTTCTCGCTGTCGTTGCCTTGGTGATTTCTACAGGAGCTTCACAAAGTAAAGTAAAGTTCTGTCTCTGTCTCTCTCACTGTCTCTCTCTCTCTCTCTTCATCTCTCGGCTGTCTCTCTCTCTCTTTCTCTCTGTCCGGTCCAAAATGGCTTCTCTCTCTTTCTTTCTTTGTTCCTCTAGTCGTTCCGCTCTCATTCTCGCCGTTTCTCGTTACCTTCTCTTCCTCCATTCACTGTTGTCACACCCACATTTGGTCTGACTGTGGACCATTCCGGAACCCCCCCACCCCCCAGGAACCAATTGGAACACTCCATGATATCCCCCTGAAGTGATTCAATGCAGTACAAATCGGATGCATACTGTATTGCTTAATATAGCTAAAGCAAGTGTCAAAAATCTGAAAGATGCAATTCACCAATGAACATAGATGCTATCATTGTATTAATAGGTGTCTACAGTAGGCTATATACTGTAGCTAATTGCAACTTGCTATCATTGTATCAGTGTCTATTATATACTGTAGCTAATGCTACATGCTATCATTTGATTGCTGTCTATATATAGTAGCTAATGCTTCTTGCTAATGCTACTTACTATCATTGTATAGGTCTATATACTATAGCCTATGCTAATGCTATTGTTATATACTGTAGCTGATGCTCACACTATTTTATTGCAGCTAATGTTAATGCTAATCGCATATACTGTAGCTATTGCTGCATGGTAATGCTATATACAGTAGCTTATGCTACATGCTAATCAAATATACAGTAGCTGAAGCTACATGCTAATGCTATATACAGTAGCTAACACTACATGCTAATGTTATATATAGTAGCTAATGCTAAATGCTATCATTGTATAGGTGTATATAATACAGTTGCTATAAATGCAAATTCTTAATGCCTACCCAGAGAATATATTTTCTTTAATACTCTCATACTGCTCTGATAGAGAGGACTCTAGTCTATTCAGTCTATTCAGGATCAGCAGAGTGAGGCATATTGATTATCGAAACACACACACACACACACACACACACACACACAGACACACAAACACACACATCACTACAGTTGCCAAAGCCCAGACTCAATCAATCACCAATGAATTGAATTGTCTTGAGACTTCAAGAGGGCAGACCTCTGCAGTTCATAGTTAAAGGCTTGAAAACACACACACACACACACTCCGCTCCTGCTCCTTGGCAGTCCTCCAGCCGATGGTCCTTGTCATTCCACTTACAATAAAGATCAACTCCCAGATATGGTCCCCTTGACATCAAGATTTTTCTTTCCCTGATATTATTTTATAGGCAATACAAATCATTGGAAACTACAGCCCCATATTGTTATGAATAAAAGGAAGTAGGGTCATAAAAACACAGGATGTCGTTTGTCGTTTACTACAACGGGCAGCATCTGAAATAGCACCCTATTCCGTATATAGAGCCCTAGGCCTGGTCAAAAGGGGTGTGCTATATAGGGAATAGGGTGACGCAGCCCTGATGACAGACTAAATAATTCCTCCTATTGGTTGAATGAACTGTTCTGTGTTCTGTCTGTGGTGTCACATCCTGTGACTGACATTAGCAATGTCATATGGCCACGTCCCAATCGTCTCAGATAGCATCCTTTCCTCGTCTCCTTTCCTTCAAGTAACATCACTTATCTGAGGTGACAATAAACTGGAATGGTATCCAGCCCTTTTATAGACCTGCAGTATAAGGAGATAAGGAAAGGAAACCATTCAACTCTGTCGGGACTCAGCCCATAATGTTATCAAGCTCATGGATTATATAGTTAATTATAATCCTGCCTTATAATAATACTATAACACCCTGACATCCACTCACATTCTCCTGGATAATGAAATGTTGTGAAAAAGAAAGAAAGAGGTTTGGCTGGGCATCCCGTCAGAAGATGCCTGTTGATAATATTTTTATGGTTGAAACATGCTTCTCAAGAGTCTACTGGCCATGAAACCTACTGATCAAACAACTGATCACATATCGTTTCATGTGACTCATATAAAAGGTTTCTTTTTTTCAGAAGAAGAGACTGAAATGTGAGTGTCTCTGTACTATGTTTTAACCTAAGACAAGTGTGCTAGCCTTGTTAACTGTTTACTATCTCTGTATGAGAGATACAGTATCCCAACCAGGACAGGAGCTTTTCCTTGACCAGGAAAAACTCCTGGCCCAACTCCACCCCCACCTCTCCCCCCAGTGCTGACGTTGTTGTGTTATTCCCATGCCGACCTGAAGGGGGACTGGCAAGGGGAAAGACATCAGCACGATCAAGTCTCTGAGAGTACTGAGGGTACTACGACCTCTCAAGACCATCAAACGACTCCCCAAGCTAAAGGTACCGGTGTGTGTGTGTGTGTGTCGGTCGGGGGGTGGGGGGCAGGGTCGAGGGGGAGTGTGTGTGGGGGTGATTTTGTGTGTGTGTGTGTGTGTGTATATCTTGTGAAAACCATATACAGTGGGGAGAACAAGTATTTGATACACTGCCGATTTTGCAGGTTTTCCTACTTACAAAGCATGTAGATGTCTGTAATTTTTATCATAGGTACACTTCAACTGTGAGAGACGGAATCTAAAACAAAAATCCAGAAATCACATTGTATGATTTTTAAGTAATTAATTTGGATTTTATTGCATGACATAAGTATTTGATCACCTACCAACCAGTAAGAATTCCGGTTCTCACAGACCTGTTAGTTTTTCTTTAAGAAGCCCTCCTGTTCTCCACTCATTACCTGTATTAACTGCACCTGTTTGAATTCGTTACCTGTATAAAAGACACCTGTCCACACACTCAATCAAACAGACTCCAACCTCTCCACAATGGCCAAGACCAGAGAGCTGTGTAAGGACATCAGGGATAAAATTGTAGACCTGCACAAGGCTGGGATGGGCTACAGGACAATAGGCAAGCAGCTTGGTGAGAAGGCAACAACTGTTGGCGCAATTATTAGAAAATGGAAGAAGTTCAAGATGACGGTCAATCACCCTCGGTCTGGGGCTCCATGCAAGATCTCACCTCGTGGGGCATCAATGATCATGAGGAAGGTGAGGGATCAGCCCAGAACTACACGGAAGGACCTGGTCAATGACCTGAAGAGAGCTGGGACCACAGTCTCAAAGAAAACCATTAGTAACACACTACGCCATCATGGATTAAAATCCTGCAGCGCACGCAAGGTCCCCCTGCTCAAGCCAGAGCATGTCTGGCCCGTCTGAAGTTTGCCAATGACCATCTGGATGATCCAGAGGAGGAATGGGAGAAGGTCATGTGGTCTGATGAGACAAAAATAGAGCTTTTTGGTCTAAACTCCACTCGCCGTGTTTGGAGGAAGAAGAAGGATGAGTACAACCCCAAGAACACCATCCCAACCGTGAAGCATGGAGGTGGAAACATCATTCTTTGGGGATGCTTTTCTGCAAAGGGGACAGGAAAACTGCACCGTATTGAGGGGAGGATGGATGGGGCCATGTATCGCGAGATCTTGGCCAACAACCTCCTTCCCTCAGTAAGAGCATTGAAGATGGGTCGTGGCTGGGTCTTCCAGCATGACAACGACCCGAAACACACAGCCAGGGCAACTAAGGAGTGGCTCCGTAAGAAGCATCTCAAGGTCCTGGAGTGGCCTAGCCAGTCTCCAGACCTGAACCCAATAGAAAATCTTTGGAGGGAGCTGAAAGTCCGTATTGTCCAGCGACAGCCTTGAAACCTGAAGGATCTGGAGAAGGCCTGTATGGAGGAGTGGGCCAAAATCCCTGCTGCAGTGTGTGCAAACCTGGTCAAGACCTACAGGAAACGTATGATCTCTATAATTGCAAACAAAGGTTTCTGTACGAAATATTAAGTTCTGCTTTTCTGATGTATCAAATACTTATGTCATGCAATAAAATGCAAATTAATTACTTAAAAATCATACAATGTGATTTTCTGAATTTTTGTTTTAGATTCAGTCTCTCACAGTTGAAGTGTACCTATGATAAAAATTACAGACCTCTACATGCTTTGTAAGTAGGAAAACCTGCAAAATCGGCAGTGTATCAAAGACTTGTTCTCCCCACTGTAGCATCAGTCTAAAAGTGTGTGTCCCTGCATGTCTGTATATGTGTATGTGACAACTCAACAACTGTATTTCTACATGTATGGTCTCTCTCTCTCTCTCTCTCTCTCTCTCACACTCTCTCTCTCTCTGTCTCTCTCTTTTTTTTATTTAATTTTTTTTTTATTTCACCTTTATTTAACCAGGTAAGCCAGTTGAGAACAGGTTCTCATTTACAACTGCAACCTGGCCAAGATAAAGCAAAGCAGTGCAATAAAAACAACACAGAGTTACATATGGGGTAAAAAACATAAAGTCAAAAATACAACAGAAAATATATATACTGTGTGTGCAAATGTAGCAAGTTATGGAGGTAAGGCAATAAATAGGCTATAGTGCAGAATAATTACAATAGTATTAACACTGGAATGCTAGATGTGCAAGAGATTATGTGCAAATAGAGATACTGGGGTGCAAAAGAGCAAAATAAATAACAATATAGGGATGAGGTAGTAGGGTGGGCTAATTTCAGATGGGCTGTGTACAGGTGCAGTGATCGGTAAGGTGCTCTGACAACTGATGCTTAAAGTTATTGAGGGAGATAAGAGTCTCCAGCTTCAGAGATTTTTTTATCTCATGTCTATCTATCTATATATATGTATCTACATATATCTCTAAAGTATATTAATATATATCTTGGGGGGAATTAAAAATTGTTTAGGGAGGGGGGAAAGGGGGGGGGAAGAGGGGAGAGGAGGAGGGCGGAGAGAGAGGGGGAGGGGGGAGGAAGAAGAAAAAGCGAGGGGAGAGGAGAGAGAGGGAGAAAAGAGGGGGAGCGAGGGGAAAAGGAGAGGAGAGGGGGGGAGAGAGAGAGCGAAAAGCGGGCGCGGGGGAAAAGAAAAGGGAAAAGAGAGGGTGATGGAATTTTTTTTATGTTAAATTTTGGTAATTAGGGTTTTTAATAAAAGTAAAACTATATTTTTGAATAAAAATGGGAATTATTAAATATAATTTTAATAATTATATATTTTCTATCTTTGGGGTTTCTTTATGTATATTGGGGGGTTTTTCTGTTTATTTAAAATTTTTGTATTATTTTTTTCTTTTTTAAAAATTTTTTTTTTTTATCTCTTTCTTCTTCTCTTTCTTCTGGTTCCTCTCTCCCCTCGTCTCTCTCTCTTTTCTCTCTCTGGTTTTCTCTGGTTTCTCTCTGTCTCTCTCTCTGTCCACCAGGCTGTGTTTGACTGTGTGGTGAACTCTCTGAAGAACGTCCTGAACATCCTCATCGTCTACATGCTCTTCATGTTTATATTTGCTGTGGTGGCTGTGCAGCTGTTCAAAGGCAGATTCTTCTACTGCACTGACGAGTCCAAGGAGTTTGAGCGCGATTGCAGGTCAGGAATGCGCGAACACACACATTACACACACACACATACTGTAGCACATGCAAAACACACACAAATACACAGGAGAACACATGCACACACACATGCAACCATATTTCCTCTTCATTAAACACACACATGGATTTAAAAGCTCAAGCACTTTTTAGTCCTTTCTCTTGTTCACTTTCTTTCTTTCTCTCTTTCTCTCTCTCTCTCTCTCTCGCTCTCTCTCTTTCTCTCTCTCTCTCTCTCTCTCTTTATCTATCTCTCTCTCTCTCTCTCTCTGTCTCTGTCTCTCTCACACACACAGACATGCTGTCTGCTAACTCCTTGTGTTTCTGTGTGTATCTCAGGGGAGAGTTTTTGGTGTACGAACGGCATGAAGTAAAAGCTCAGAAGCGGGAGTGGAAGAAGTACGATTTCCACTACGACAACGTGCCTTGGGCCCTGCTCACCCTCTTCACTGTGTCCACTGGAGAGGGCTGGCCGCAGTGAGTAACACACACCCCTTTTCTACACATGGCTCAATCTATATACTGTATACCCTAATCTCTGTCTCTCTCCCACAGGGTGTTAAAGCATTCGGTTGATGTGATCTATGAGAATCAGGGTCCTCACTCTCTCTCTCTCTCTCTCATATGAAATGACCGTACATACTGTATACCCTAATCTCTGTCTCTCTCCCACAGGGTGTTAAAGCATTCGGTAGATGCGACCTATGAGAACCAGGGTCCCAGTCCGGGGTACCGGATGGAGATGTCCATCTTTTACGTGGTGTACTTCGTTGTCTTCCCCTTCTTCTTCGTCAACATCTTTGTTGCTCTCATCATCATCACCTTCCAAGAACAGGGGGATAAGATGATGGAGGACTACAGTTTGGAAAAGAATGAGGTGAGAGAGGGACAGAGGGATGAGGGGATGGAGAGAGAGCAGGGAGAGCAGGGAAATGGAGGACTACAACCTGGGGGGGAAACGAGGTGGGAGGAGGGAGGGAGGGAGGGAGGGAGAGGGAGGGAGAAAGGGGGGAGGAAAGAGCAGAGGGATGTATGTATATTTGTAAATATGGGAGGAGTTGCGTACAGCAGAAGGCACATTTCCGTCTGGTATGGATTAATAAAGTATTCTTCATCTTCTCCTTCTTCTTCCTCATCCTCTGTCGTCCTCCCATCCAGAGAGGATGTATAGACTTTGCCATAAACGCCAAGCCCCTGACCCGCCACATGCCCAAGAACAAGCAGAGCTTCCAGTTCCGAATGTGGTCGTTTGTGGTGTCCCCACCATTCGAGTACAGCATCATGGGTCTGATCGCACTCAATACTATAGTCCTCATGATGAAGGTAAGACTGGACGATGTGTGTGTGTGTGAGAGGTGTGTGAGTGTGTGTCTGTCTGTGTCTGTGTGTGTGTGTGTCTGTGTGTATGTGTTTGCATCATGGCTCTGATCATTATGAATACTACAGTCCATGATGAAGGTAAGATCATATTGTCTTCTGACAGATGGCGTCATTCTAACGCAACACGTTACCAGGAGCCATCTGTCTAGCAAATTGTGGAACTCATCCCTAAACATTTTAGATTGTGTTCATCCACCTAACGCTAGTTCCTATTTCCTGAAACCCTTCTAATCTCAGGGTGAAATTAACCACAAGGCCACTGAGCTGTGCTAGCATGACTAATGTGTTTTTCCTCCTGTGTGTGTGTGTGTGTGTGTGTGTGTGTGTGTGTGTGTGTGTGTGTGTGTGTGTGTGTGTGTCACTAATGATGACTAATGTGTTATTCCTCCTCTGTGTGTGTTTGTGTTCAGTATAATGGGGCGTCTGACACCTATGATAAAGTCCTGAAGAACATTAACATCGTCTTCACTACACTCTTCTTCATGGAGTGTATTCTCAAGATCATCGCCTTCGGGGTTTTGGTGAGGCTACCCACACACTCTCACACTCCCGCCTATCTAGGGTGACCTGCTATATCTGCTTGAGCTTCTATTCCCATTCCTATTATTCATTTATAAGTCATGTTATTTTAGTGGACAGAACTGGAGCATGTTTTCCTAGCTACTCTCTGAAAGTGACGCGATTGGCTACTTCACCTCCTAGCCCCTGTCTCCATGGTAACAATAATGTGATTGGCTGGTGCATATTCCTTCCTGTCGCTGTCCTCCATTAGGAGCAATGTGATTGGTTATCACCCTGTCTCTCTGCACTGCTATTGGTTTATGTATCTTGTTTTTCCCCCATCATCACGGTAACAATAATGTGATTGGCTGGTGCGGATTCATTCCTGTCCCTGTCCGATGTCGGAGAAATGTGATTGGTTACTTCTCTGTCTCTCTGCTCTCTGATTGGCTAAAATATGTCTTCTCTTCCTGTGTCCTAACAGAATTATTTTAAAGACGCTTGGAACATTTTTGATTTTGTCTCCGTGCTCGGAAGCTTCACTGATATCCTAGTGACAGAATTCTGGGTAAGTGCGTCTTGGAGCATAGTACTATAGGCCATGTGTGTGGTAAGAATTAGCAGTGGGATGGGAATTAGTAAGTACGTGGTGGTGTGTACATGTGTCTATCACATACACACCTAACATGTACATGTCTACCACTGGTCTATGATATATTGATAAGATACTGGGTGTGTCACAATACTCTCTCCTTTCTCCTGAAGTGTGCACTTGTTCACTTCCCTTCATGGATTTCATTGGTGGACACTCCCTTGAACTTATCCCTACACAAATCTGATGCTTTTAAATTTGTGGGGAATAGTGAGCTAGTGCTTCCCAGTAGGAGGAAGGAGAGGTTATTGGGACACACCCACTGTCTTTACGATAAGCTTCGGTACAGCTGAAAGATGTTATTTTGGTGGATAGTAGGCCGTCTATTGGAACACTCAAATTGCCATCCAACCCTGTGTTATGTGTGTGTTGTTATGTTGTCAGTCTTGCTTGTCTGTGTCTATTCCCACATGTTTGTGTTTGTGTTTGTAATTGTGCTTAATCCTGTGTTGTATATGATAGATGTTTCGCTGTGTGTAGTAGGATGGCAGTGGTAAGAATTCATGATGTAGTTTGTTAAGTGTTATATACACTTTATTTCAGACTATCCCCGTAGTCACATTCTACAGTATCTCAATACATACGTTTTGACCCTTAGCTAAACGCTTTAAAGCTGAAATCCTTAACTGGTGGAAATGCCACGTCCATTTGCGATATTGCAACATCAAAGAAGTTACTGCAAACAACCAACACTGTTCTTATGTGCACAGAACAGCAGCATATGTACTGCAAATTGTTTTACCTTGATGCGTGACGCTTCCCCAGTGTCTTCCACCTTGCTACGTCAACAAAACAAAAACAATTACAACAGCCGTGGGGCGGACAGTGGCACTGTTTCCTCCTACTGCGGATTCCATCACTAAATGTGACCACAAGGACAGCCTCAAACAAAGCCACTCAAATGGTGTTGTTGTTGACTGATGTTTTGTATGGAAGCAGATTCATGCCAAAAAAACAAATACAAAATGTGTTTTTGAGCATGAATGTGCTTCCAAAGTTCTACAGCCTTGTTGTAACTATAGAAATATAATATTTCTAAAGATTATATTTCTATGGTTGTAACAATGTTATACCTATGTTGTAACTATGTTGTAACGACCTCCATAATGATTCCTTTTCCTGTTCTATCTTTTTACATGCTTTCTTTAAAAACCAACCTCTCTGCTTTGTTGGCGTCCACGCCCCCACTACTACTTCCTACTTATGATAAATCCATCCAATCGAAATGCACTATGAATCCCCTCCCATGTTGTCCCATCCAATCCATGACGCTGACTGTGTGGTGTGCTGTTGTGTGATGGTGTGCTGTTACCATGCCCCCCAAAAAACACAAAATCATCACCAAACCACCACCAACTCCACTCACTGACACTCATTGTATCCAACCTCCTCCCTCCTCCTCCTTCCTTCCATCCATCCTTCTACATCTACCTGCCACATATAGGAGGTTGGTTTGTAATTTATCTCTCAGACCTACTCGCATCCCCATTGGCCAATGTGTGGCCCCGCCCTCCTCCTGACCTCCCTGACCCTTCACCCCCAACCTTCTGGGCTTAGCTGCTGACCTTTAAGCCCTGACCTCTGACCCAAGTGCATGCACTTCTGATTGGCAGTTGAATCATGTGTGTGCCTGATGACTCTAGTGGGCTTCCTCTCAGCAACTGTTGAAAGATACAGTCCTTCTGGCTCACTATTGGCTAGTTAATGGATAAAGGGTTCTAGCCAAGCACACACACACACACACACACACACACATAGAATCACACATAGACATACACACACACACCTACACTCTTAGAAAGAAAGGTGCTATCTGGAACCTAAAAGTGTTCTTCGGCTGTCCCCATAGGAAAACCCTTTGAAGAACACTTTTTGGTTCCAGGTAGAACCTTTTTGGTTCCAGGTAGAATCCTTTTGGGTTCCATGTAGGCCCCATTTCACAGAGGGTTCTACATGGAACCCAAAATTGTTCTACTTGCAACCAAAAAGGGTTCTACCTGGACCAAAAAAGGGTTCTCCTATGGGGACAGCCGAAGAACCCTTTTGGAACCCTTTTTTCTAAGAGTGTAGAAATACACACACATACATGAACACAAATGCACATGGATTGGTTACTATTACATCCTTGCATAGATATGGCACTCACACATTTACCATAGTAGTGCCTGAAGGAGGTATGAATGCTAGCCAAGGCTTTTGTTGTGCTTGACTAGATAGAGGGATACTCTACCACTGTTCTGCATGCAGCTGTAGAATCTTCCACAGACGCTCTGCCCTTGAGCCTCCTTCTAAACAGAAGGGAGTTGCCACAGTGTTGCCATGCCATTGCCTGCATTGAAGCTGGATCTGTCTGCATGCTAGCTTCCTCTTCCTCATCTTCCTCCTCCTCTTCCTCTCACTACTGCTTTGCTCGTCAACCTGTGCCACACAACAGTACTGTGCCTCGTCGCACAAGAGATTCTGGGGCTGGGGTGAACAATAGGTTGTGTCTTGGTATCTTGAAAGGCAGGAATGAAATGTATTATTATTATTATTATTACTGTGATGCCAGCTGTGCAGGTAGATTAGAGAGAAATACATAAATATTTTAAATACACACGCAAACCAATAACAATTTTAGATTCTGGACGGGTTTCCCAGACACATATTAGGCCTAGTCCTGGAATGAAATGCACTTTCAATGGAGATTGTCTAATCTCTGTCCCAGAAACCGGCCCTTTAAATTTGAGACTCCCTTCAGTGTATGTTCAGAATGCTGAACACCTCATGACCACTCTCAGCCAATCACTTAGTGGCGAACCGTGACAGCTTCCTGTGTGTGTGTGCGGTTGACGAGTGCAGTGTGTGTGTGTGTGTGTGTGCGTTCTGTCTGTTTGATGCCAATACCTCCATACCCTGTGGCCTGCTTGCCCCCCTGAGATCAGTTGCATTTGGTTTTTATAAAACGTTCTACTTTTACCGGATTGGATGATGATGTTTTCGATTTGATTTTTCATTATGATTTTTACTCCTCCTTTTGTTTTCTCTCTCTCTTCGTTCTCTCTCTTTTTTAACTCTCTTGTTGTTCCAAACTTGTTTGTTTTGCATTGAGTGTTCTTGGCTTTCTATCAAATCGTGGGTTGTTGGGGGTTTTGGTATGTTTGGATTTAGGGATTTTTGGGGGAATAATTTAACTTTTGACCCCCCCGGCGCCGGGGAACCGCCGCGCGCGAGCCGGGGAAAGCAGCGCCCGCGCCGGGGGAACCGGCGCGGCGCGCCGGGGGAACCGCCGCCCGCGCGGGGGAACCGCCGCGCCGCGCCGGGGGGGGAACAAGCCGAGCGGCGGGGGGAAACCGCCGCGCCCGCGCCGGGGGGGAACCGCTCGCGGCGCCGGGGGGGGGGGGGGAAAACCCCGGGCGCGCGCGGGGAACCGCGCGCCCGCGCCGGGGGAACCGCCGCCCCGCGCCCGGGGGGAAACCGCCGCGCGCGGCCGGGGAAACCGAGCGCGGGCGGGGGCACCGGGCCCCGCCCGCGCCGGGGGGGGAACCGCCGCGCCCCGGCAGGGGAACCGCGCGCCCGGCGGGGGAACCGGCGCGCGGCCGGGGGGGAACCGCGGGCGCGCGCGCCCGGGGAACCGCCGCCCCGCGCCGGGGGAAACCGCCGCCCCGCGCCGGGGAAAACCCGGGGCGCGCGCCGGGGGAAAAGACGCCCCGGCCGGGGGAAACCCCAGCGCGCGCGCCGGGGGGGAACAAAACCCCGCGCCCGCGCGGGGGGGGAACCGCGGGGCGGCGCGGGGAAACCGCGGGCGCGGCGGGGGGAAACCGCCGCCCGCGCCGGGGGGACCGCCCGCCCGCGCCGGAACCCCGACGCGGCAGGGAAACCGGGCGCGCCGGGGGGGAACCGCCGCGCCCGGCCGGGGGAACAGGGCGCGCGCCGGGGGAACCGCCCCGGCCCGGCCGGGAACCGGGGAACCGCCCCGGGGCGCGAGGGGGGAACCCCGCCGGGGGAACCGCTCGCCGCGCAGGGAAAACCCCGGCGCGGCGCCGGGTAAACCCCCGGTCGGGAAACCGCCGCGCCGGGGGAACGCCGCCGCGGCCCGGGGGTGGAAACCCCCCCCCCGGGGGAAAACGCGCCGCGCCGGGAACCACCGCGCCCGGGGGGGAACCGGGCTTTGGCCCGGGAACCGAGCGCCCGCGCCGGGGAAACCCCCCGCGAGCGGGGGAACCGCCGCGCCCGCCGGGGAACCGCCCCGCCCGCCGGGGGAAACCGCGCGAGCCGGGGGAACCCGCGCCACCGGGAACCGGGGGGCGGCCCGGGGGAAACCCCCCCCGCCCCGCCCGGTTGGGGAAACCCCCCCCCAAACCACCCCCCCGGAACTACCCCCTCCCCCCCGGGGAAACCCTCCCCCCGGCCCCACACCGGAACGCCCGCCCCCCAACCCCCCCCAAACCCCCCTCCCCGAACCCCCCGCCGGGGGAACCGCCGGGCCCGGGGAACGGGCCCCCGCCGGGGGAACCGCCGCGCGCGGGGAACGAGCGCGCGGCCGGGGGAACCGCCGGCCCGCGCGGGGGAACCGCGGCCCCGGGGAAACCGGCCCCCGCGCCGGGGAACCGCCCCCCCCGGGAACCGACTCCCCCCGGGAACCCCCGGCCCGCGGGTTTTAACCCGCGCCGCGCCGGTAACCGACCGCCGCCGGGAACCCCGCCGGCCGTGGGAACCCCCCCCGGGGAAACCCCGCCGCGGGAACCGCCCCGCCCTTTTTAACCTTCTCTCTCTCCTTTTTATACCTCCTCTCCTCTCCTTTTTAACCTCCTCTCCTCTCTCCTTTTTAACCTCCTCTCCCTCTCCTTTTTAACCTCCTCTCCCTCTCCTTTTTAACCTCCTCTCTCTCCCTTTTTGACCTCTTCTCTTATTGTTTTGGTTAGATTTTGGCTTTTTGAAAGAGGAGTGATAATAATTCAGTGAAACTAATTGTGTCTTTCTCTCTCTCTCTCTTTCTCTCTCTCTCTTCTGATCACACACCACACCACACCACACACACACGCACGCACACACACTCTTTCTCTCACTTTCTGTGGTCAAACACACTCTTTCTCTCTCACTCACACACATCGTTGCTGTAGAATAACTTCATCAACCTGAGTTTCCTTCGACTGTTTCGAGCAGCTCGTCTCGTCAAGCTACTGAGACAAGGAGAGACTATACGCATCCTGCTCTGGACTTTCGTCCAGTCATTTAAGGTAAACACCCACACACACACACACACACATAAACACACACAAACACACACCCACACACACACATAAACAAACACACACACATAAACACACACAACCCCCTCCCCCCACACACACACATGAACACAAATGTTTTCTTTTTTTGGACAAAGTCTGATATGGGCAGTTAAGCTGTTTGTAGTCTTAACACTAAAAGTGTACTTCCCTGTGTGTCCACCGGTAGGCGCTGCCCTATGTGTGCCTCCTCATCGGCATGCTGTTCTTTATCTACGCCATCATTGGGATGCAGGTGAGTACTGCTGACATAGCCTCTGTAATAAAAGCATTTATTCAGAAAAATATTTATATTGATGGCATTGATGTCAATAGCCAATGATTGATGTCAGTGGTCAGAATTCAGCCCTAAATGATCACTTCCTTTACCTCTTTGTGTGTGTAGTTGTTTGGGAATCTGGCACTTGGCGAGGAGGAAAGCAGCGCCATCAACGAACATAACAACTTCAGGACTTTCATCATGGCACTCATGTTACTATTCAGGTGGTTTATCCACTCTTTCTTTCTCTCTTTCTCTCTGCTTTCATATGCAATATCGATAACTCTCTGTCTTTCTTTCTCTCTCTTTTTCCCTCACACTCTCTCTCTCTCTCTGTTTTCTATTATTCTCACGCTCTATCTTCTCTCCCACATTGACCCACATGTTTTTGTTTGTTTTTGTCTGTGAGTATGCGTCCGTACATGTGTGTGTTTGTGTGCATGCGTCCGTACGTGTGTGTGTGTGTGTGCATGCGTCCATCCGTGTGTGTCCTTTACCAGGAGTGCGACAGGTGAGGCGTGGCATGACATCATGCTGTCGTGTCTGGGGGGTAAGAAGTGTGACCCAGACTCAGGGAACACAGAACCAGAGTGTGGCAGCACCTTCGCATACACATACTTCGTCTCCTTCATCTTCTTCTGCTCTTTCCTGGTAAGAGGACTAATCATACCCCATTTTTTTGTATCTAGTAATTGTTGTGTAGATGCTGAATCAGTTTTTGACTGTGTGTGTGTGTGTGTGTGTGTGTGTGGTTGTACGTGTGTGTGTGTGTGTGTGTGTGGTTGTACGTGTGTGTGTGTGTGTGTTTGTACGTGTACATGCGTGTGTGCGTAGATGCTGAATCTGTTTGTGGCTGTCATCATGGATAACTTTGAGTACCTAACCAGAGACTCATCTATACTGGGTCCTCATCACCTGGACGAGTACGTCAGGATATGGGCCGAGTATGACCCCGCTGCCTGGTGAGTCACACACACACACACACACACACACACACACACACACACACACACACACACACACACACACACACACATAAACGTACACACAGGTGCACACAGACACACACACAGGGACACACACACACACACACACTGCTGTAGACATTATCACCGATATACATGTGTACAGACTATTCATGTTTAATCATACGAACAAAATGTTTTGTTCATATACACTTGACTAATGTACTTACAAATAGGCACATACAGATATCCACTTATGCCAAACTCATATACGTACACAGCATCGTACACATGATTAACATTGTTGACTGTACAGTAACTCTAGCTAACCCATGCCTTTCTCTCCTAATGAACTTGTCATAGCTTCTCATTCTAACCTTTGACCCTTAACTGAAAAGAGCAAACCTGACCCCAGTCATGTGACCAGTCACGTGCCAGAGGAGATTATTTAAACTGATAATAAACCATAGAGTTAGATAGAGGGCTCTAGATGGATATAACCTGTTTTAACATTGCCATCACAGACGCCGTAATGGCACAGATACAAAGATGAGTCCTCTATCTAACTCTATGTAATAAACTGAACATACGGAGGTGGGAGTTTAGTGATACTGATGATGATGGAGTTAACAGGGAACAGGTGCTTCTGTACCTGACCAACTAACCAGCCGTCCCGTCTCTCGTCTTTCTTTCTGTCCTTTGTCGTCCTCTCTCTTTCTGTGTTGATGTTGTGGTATTAATATTAATATTATAAGTGTTGATATTATACCCTTAAATCTATGTACTGTGAACTCAGTGACTGCCCGGTTGTAACACTCCCTCAATGTGAGTGTGTGTGTGTGTGTGTGCCTCTCTCCAAATGTAACGTTTAAACAGAGCTAGAGAGAAGGGTAGAGAGAGGGGGAGAGAGAGATGGGAAAGGTAAAAGAAGATAAGTGCAGAGAGAGAGAGAGCAAGAGAGGATTGTCTGCATTATGGTTCTTTATATCACTCATTACTGCATGGTAAACGTTTCTATAGGGAACCGTTGGCAGCTTATGGCAACACAAGCAAAATACACACCCTGTATTTTGATACTGAGAAATGCATTGTCCATTAGAAGGCAATTATCTCTCTTTTACTTTAATATATATCTGAAAATGTATAGATAGCCATACAGCTATTACTATAATGTAGTTGGAGAAAATATAGACAGGGAAGAAAGATTTCTTTCGAGTAGAAAAATATACAGTATGTAGAATCATGTATGTAGATTATATGTAGAATTATATGTAGGAAAATATAGAAAAATGTACAATTATGTATATAGATTATATGTGGAATTATATGTAGAAAAATATATGTAGAATTATGTATGTAGATTATATGTGGAATTATATGTAGGAAAATATAGAAAATTTAGAATTATCTATGTAGATTATTTGTGGAATTATATGTAGAAAACTATATATTAGAAAGGTGGAAAAACTTTTGTGTGTACGCATGTTAGACTGACTTATACTTTGTATCCTCTGTGTCTAATCTGTCTATAAACTTAAAACTGAAACTACTCCATCACTGATCGACATAAAGTAAAACCTATCCCCTCTCCCTCACCCTCATCCTCCTCTCTCTCTCTCTCTCTCTCGGTGTATCCCTTCTTCCTCTAACCTCCCTGTATTCTTCTTGCAGCGGGCGCATACATTATAAGGATATGTACAGTTTATTGAGAGTAATCTCCCCTCCTCTGGGCTTGGGCAAGAAATGCCCTCATAGGGTGGCCTGCAAGGTTTGGACCCAACTATAACACAACGTTTACGCAACCTGCTCGTTCTATCTCTCACTCAGAGACTTGGGAATGAATGTTACGCTCTATCTCTCTCTTTTTCTTTTTGGATTTTTGTTTATCACTTCTTCTTCATGATCATTTCTTATTCGATTTTGGTTTGGTTTGGTTAGTAGTAATTCATAGTCACCATCTTGTTTTGGTTTTCTTATTAATATTGGTATGCATTCTTGATATGATAGAGGAGAATGTTTGGGACAATGCAGAACACACCACACCTGTTTTAGTAGCAACTGTCTGAAGCATGATGTTGTAGTGGTGCACTGCACTCGCTATCTGTACTGTACTCACTAAACAAACAAATTATTCACTACTACAAACGATTCACTACTCGCTAAATTTTCAATGAATCAATCCGGGTTGTTGGGGTCAATTGCATTTCAATTCAGTCTGTTCAGGAAGTAAACAGAAATTCCAATTCCAGTTCCATTTTTCCTCAATGCGTTTCAGTGAGAAATATTACTTCCTAAATTGACTGAATTGAAATAGAATTGACCCCAACCCCGGAGTCAATTCTGTATCAACAAAACAAGACACAAGAAAATCAAACCATTGTGCTTTCTTGGTTTGTGCTTGCTGTCTAACTAACCATGACCATACCATGGCACAACAGGGTTCTAGCACCGTGCATTGTTCTTGAATGGGGGGTGGGGGGGGGGGGGGGGTTCCAGATGGTGGGATGGGGGGTGGGTTTGGGAGGTGGTTGGGGGTAGGGTTGCAATATTTCGGACCTTTCCCAAAATTCTCAGGTTTTCCAGAATTCCTGGATCTCTGCTTATTCCGGGAATCTTTCAACCAGGATTTCTGAAAAACCTGGGAATTTGGGTGGGGGGTGGGGGGGGGGGGGGGGGGGGTAAAAGGAACTGCATTGACGTGACTTACCATTTGTGACACTACCACCCCAGCAGCGGCGCTTTTCCTTGCCTGCTCCAAGCCTCACTGCACGTTCTATAGGAGAGGAGACACAAACACACACACACCCTTTTACCTCCTTGCATAGAACGCTGTTTTATTATAGTTACTTATACTAAAACTACACCTCCCCCATCCCCATCTCTCCTCCTCCCTCTCTCCCCCTCTTCTCCCCCGAGAGATCCAACCAGAGCTGAGTCTCTATCTTTCTTAACCTCTCCTCTCTCTCCCCTCTCGTAACCACTCTTCCGATGAAACAATAACCTCTGTGTATTTGTTTCCCTTTTATTTGTTTGTTATTCCTTTCTCCTTTCTCTCCCCCCCCCCCTCCTCCCCCCCATGCACCTCTCGTTCGTCGTGTCTACCCAAACTTTCTTGGTTGTCCGTCCACGTTTGTTGTTGTTGGTGTGTGTGTGTGTGTGTGTGTGTGTGGGCCTACTACTACTACTACAGCGGCCGAATCACTTACAATGACATGTATCAGATGCTCAGGCACATGTGTCCACCACTAGGCCTGGGGAAGAGGTGCCCCGCCCGGGTCGCCTACAAGGTAGACCCCTTCCCCTCCCTCACCCCTCCCTTCCCCTTCTCCCCATACTCGTGGGTCCCCCCCCCATCCCCCCTCCTCACCCCTCGCCCCTCCCAACTCCCAATCCTCAGCGCTGTCATTATTGTCTGTTAGTGGTGGTGTGGTGGTGAGCGCTGTTTTTTTTTTATTGGTCGGAACTGGGGATTGAGGGATGAACGGAGGGAGGGATCGTCGTGAAGTAGAATGATAGTGAAAGGATAGTCAGTCCCTGCGACCCTCCAGATATGCTAAGCCACAGGAGCAAGGGAACGGAGGAAGCCTTGTCTGCCCTTCTGCACCCTGCACGGGCCTATACACACTCCTTACACACAGATTTATCTGCTTTTGCCCACATTTGGGAACGTCTTCTTCCAAGTAGAACCAATTCAAAAACCATGACCACAGCCCTCTGGAAGTCAAGTATCCTTGATCTCAGGTCGGCCATACTCTATTGGGTCGCTGATATTACCAATTTACTGGGTTTCGGCATCAAAATGCACCGTTTATTGTTAAAAACTGAAATGATTTGATAAGCACTCGTATGAGTAGTTTTACATTTATTAACATATTAATGGGTATCTATCTGCAGTTTTTCTTACATTGGAGAGCCGGTAGGTACACTGGCATATATTGGCCTTAATATTACTTAGGGTGCTCTCACACACACACAAACAAACAAATGAACAGACAAAAGGATGCGGGTACAGAAGGATAGGGAAGGGTGTGTGTCTTGAGTCCTCTGAGTCTCTCATTCCTGTGGATGGCACCATAGCTACACACACTCTCACACACACGGTCATTCAGACAGGGTCTTCATTTCCTGACCACACACATATTTACTGTACTTCAATCTTCAGACCTTAGCTAGGAGGGGATAGTGACACAAAGACATTTGTGGCCACATTATTTGACAGGAAGTTGTTGTTTGTTGATTTTAATGACAGTGAATCTACAGTATTTGGGCATTATGTTCACTCCCATTACAATCGACAAATACAGTAGATAGACAGTCATGTCTTTAGCAGTCTCCCTTTTTTGTGTCTTTTCCCCCTATCTTTTCCCTTTCTTTCCTTTCCTTTGGGAAGCCCTGAGCTTTTTCCACCCATCCTGTTTTACTGTCAATGCAGTTCTGATCTGTTTGTCTTCTATTTTCCTAAAATCGAGATGTAGCTGAGTATCTATAGAGAGATATTCGCGAGATATAAAAAGAAACAAAAAATCTGAGCTATATAGTAGAAAGTAGAGAGAAAAATATAGAGAGTGGGATAGAAAGAATAGAGATGGATATAGAGATAAAAAACGAGAACGTGTAGAGGGAATAAAAATAGATGATCAGATATAGCAATAGCTATACTATCGCGAAGATATAAATCGAGCCTGGGGAGCCAGAGCGAGGGAAAACTGATCGCGGGAGAACACCCTATTCTAGTAAGGAGCGAGAAGCGTCAGATAGCATAGAGACCCGAGAGAGAGAGAGAGAGAGCGACTAGAGAGAGCGAAGATTCGAGAGAGATAGCGATCGCAAAAAAGCTCTATCCAAAAATAGAGAAATATCTACCGCAATATCTCTCGATCCCCTCCTACAACGAGAAAGCTATCATACCCGATATCTGGTATTGCTCCACCCCTCTATCTCCTCTCTCTCCCTCCCTTCCCCTCTCTCTCTCCCTCCCCCCTCCTCCTCTCTCTCTCTCTCTCTCTCTCTCTTTCTCCTTTCTTTCTCATTCCTCTTCCCGTCCACTTGTCTGTCAGCTTCCACTACGCCAACATTATCCAATATCCCACTCCCTTACATTCTCTCTCCCTCTGTCCCTCTGTTCTACTGTCCTACTGTCTGTCTCTCTCCCTCTGGCCTACTCTCTCCCTCTGCCCCTCTGTCCTACTGTCTGTCTCTGTCCCTCTGTCCCTCTGTTCTACTGTCCTACTGTCTGTCTCTGTCCCTCTGTCCCTCTGTTCTACTGTCCTACTGTCTGTCTCTGTCCCTCTGTTCTACTGTCCTACTGTCTGTCTCTCTCCCTCTGGCCTACTCTCTCCCTCTGCCCCTCTGTCCTACTGTCTGTCTCTGTCCCTCTGTCCCTCTGTTCTACTGTCCTACTGTCTGTCTCTGTCCCTCTGTCCCTCTGTTCTACTGTCCTACTGTCTGTCTCCCTCCCTCTGGCCTACTCTCTCCCTATGTCCCTCTGTCCTACTGTCTGTCTCCCTCCCTCTGGCCTACTCTCTCCCTATGTCCCTCTGTCCTACTGTCTGTCTCTGTCCCTCCTTCCTACTGTCTCCTTCTGTTCCTCTTTCCTACTGTCTGTCTCTGTCCCTCCTTCCTACTGTCTCCTTCTGTTCCTCTTTCCTACTGTCTGTCTCTGTCCCTCCTTCCTACTGTCTCCTTCTGTTCCTCTTTCCTACTGTCTGTCTCTGTCCCTCCTTCCTACTGTCTCCTTCTGTTCCTCTTTCCTACTGTCTGTCTCTGTCCCTCCTTCCTACTGTCTCCTTCTGTTCCTCTTTCCTACTGTCTGTCTCTGTCCCTCCTTCCTACTGTCTCCTTCTGTTCCTCTTTCCTACTGTCTGTCTCTGTCCCTCCTTCCTACTGTCTCCTTCTGTTCCTCTTTCCTACTATCTGTCTCTGTCCCTCCTTCCTACTGTCTCCTTCTGTTCCTCTTTCCTACTGTCTGTCTCTGTCCTACTGTCTGTCTCTGTCCCTCTGTCCTACTGTCTGTCTTTGTCCCTCTGTCCTACTCTCTCCCTCTGTCCTACTGTCTCCCTCTGTCCCTCTGACCTACAATCTCCCTCTTTCCTACTGTCTGTCTCTGTCCTACTGTCTGTCTCTGTCCCTCTGTCCTACTGTCTGTCTCTGTCCTAATGTCTGTCTCTGTCCTGTCTGTCCTCTCTTCTCCCTGCTCCTTCTCTTCACTCTGTCCAGGGCTGTGTCCCAAATGGCACCCTATTCCGTATACAGTGCACTACTTTTGACTAGAGCCCTATGGGCCCTGGTCAAAAGTAGTGCACTACATTGGGAATAGGGTGCCATATGGGACAGGGTGCCATTTGTGACGCAGCCCAGCAATTCCCTATTGCCTATTGCACTCATGGAAGTCCTTAGTGTTCATGGATAACAACAATGATAGATGCTGTAATGGCTTAGATGGGTTACATGCTAGCTTGTCGTTGTTTTAGTACGCTAATCCTGAGAGAAGACTTTACGTTAAAGACCCTAACCCCTAAACCACTTTCTCCCACCTTGGACTGGTCATAATCCAAGAGTAGTATTTGACCTCAGTCTTACGCTTGACCTTTCTAGCCTTTGTTAAGGTAGTGTTCTAACCTTTGGTAAGGTAGTGAACTTTCCAGGAAGGTCTGCTCTGTTTGGGATATGACCATTGGTTGGCCATTTTTGGTGATAGATTGATATGGTTTCAGTCCTCGTCTTATTCTCTTGTCTTGTTATACTCTCTCTCTCTCTCTCTCTCTCTCTCTCTCTCTCTCTCTCTCTCTCTCTCTCTCTCTCTCTCTCTTACTCTCTCTCTCTTTCACTCTCTTGCAATATCCTCTCTTTCTTTCTCCCCTTGACTCACGTATCGTCTTGATTTCTTGTTTTTCCTTTTTAAATGTCGTCACAATCCCCCTCCCTCCTCCTCTACCAACACCCTTTTTTATCTGTAGCTCCATCTCATGATATAAACCTTCCAGTTCTAACTCCACTAACGTCTACTACTACTTCTCCCCTGTATACAGTAGCCCAACATCTGGTTGGTCAAAAACAAATCATTCTTCTTTTTTTATTATTTTCTTCTTTCAGGGAATGTTATTACTAAACATCTTTAACTGACCCCTTTTAGATAACGCAACCGTTTTGCATCGAGAGAGATCTGATCTGCCAATCCGGACCTTTGCATCATGTCTAAAAGACTCAAACTAAAGACTTTAAATTCCCACTCTTCAAATAGCCTGCATAGCTTTGTAGGAAACCATAGAGAGAAAATAAAACAATTCAAAGTGATCAATACATAGATATTCGATCCATCAAAGCTAATAGATGATACTCTCTGTGTGCGGATGCACGGCTGCTTGTCCTGTGAGGGAGAGGGGGGAGGGAGAGGGTGGAGGTAGGGGCATGCTGCTTGTGGAGGTATGTTGAATGTCGGGGATCCGGGGGTGTTGGGAAAAGCATGCGTCCGTCGCATTCTCTGTTGCATGGCTTGTTGCTATGGACACCGGGAGGCTGTGGATGTTGGCTGCGACGACTGTTGCCACATGCTTTCGGGCATGACACACACACACACTCACACACTAACATTGTTTCACACGTGCTTGCCCGTCCTATGTGAGTACCCAACGCTCATGTTCAAAAGGTAAAACCAATCGATGACCGACTACTAGATATGAAAAAACAACCACCCTGGGTTTGTTGTTTTATCTTGCAGTTCATCCATTGGTTTTACCTGTTTAGAAATAAATAAATACAAACCATGCAGGGAACCTCCATATAGGTAGGGGGAGCTCTATAGCAGATGCCTTGATAAAACACACTGGTCTCCTGATGAAGAATAATACAACTACACCAGTGATACTATTGTTTACCATGTCTTGCAGTATATTCCAGTATATTCTGTTAATATACTGTTTGTTAGTGGAAGGGTAAAGGGGGTTGTATGTGTACATGTGTGTACATTTGTGTGTAATAAGATGCGTGAATGCATACCGTTGCATTCACACATTATTAGGGAGCATGGGCATAGGTTGGGTCAGTTGGTCGTCGGCCATTGTGGTGCCGTGTGGCTCTTGGCTCTCGCAGTCGCTTATTCTGTAGCAGACGGCCCATTGGATAAATGTGTAGCTGTTTGAGTATCACTGGCCAATCAGGAGACAATCAGGAAGTACTTTTCCACTGTTTACTTTGGAAAAGGCTGTTTTATAGTTTGGAAATCATACTGTGGTTACTACATATGACAAAGTCCTTTAGCACACAAAGAGATATAATACAGGCCTACAAGAGACCTCTGACAATCAAGATACTGCAAGTGGGGTTGGGTTAAATTCCATTTAGATTCAGTCACTTCGGGAGATGAATTGAAATTGACATTTTTTTTTCTATGAAGATTTCTTTCAATTCATGAATTGGA